CTGCTCGTCGTCCTCTTCGGGCACTTCGTGGATGATTTCAACGGAGTGGAGGACGCGGCCTCGGCGGATTCCGCCCATTTCGCCCTCGCCGACTTCTTCGCCCTGCTTGGCCTTCAGACCAAGCCGTCCAAAGCCCAGGCCCCGGCCAAGGAACACGTGGTCCAGGGCGTTTCGGTGAGGGTCGCCCGGGAGGGAGTCGAACTGCGCCCCACGGCCGACCGCATGAAGAAGATCCTCCAGCAGATCGACCTCGCCTTGGAGAACGACGCCCTCAAGCCCGAGGCTGCGTCCAAGTTGGCGGGGCGACTGACGTTCTTCAGCCAGTCCATCTTCGGTTGCACCGGGCGGGCGGCCATCAAGCCGCTCTATTTCAGGGCCGCCGACACGGCTGCCAACTCCGACGACGCCCTCTCGGTGGGGCTGCGCTCGGCATTGCTGGCCCTTCGCCGTCTGGTTTTGTCTGCGCAGCCGCGGCTGCTTCCTTGGCCGGGGGCGGTCACAGCTCCCGTGCCCGTCCTGTATGCGGATGCCTTCTTTCTGGAGGGTGACCTGCGAAAGAAGGTGGGGCACCTCCAGCCGGGCGACTCGGTGCCCCGGTCGGCCAGGTGGGAGAAAGGATGGGGCTTCGTCCTCCTCTTCGAGGGCCAGGTGTTCTATGACTTCGGCGTCGTCAAGCCCGAGTACCTCAAGCCCTTCGCCTCCCGCCGGGCGTTTATCTACGTGCTGGAAATCCTGGCGCAGGTGCTTCCCATTATTACCTTCGCCAGGCGGCTGCCCCAGCACTGGATCGCCTTCATCGACAATGTCGCCGGGCAGTTCGCCCTGATGAAGGGCTACGGGCGAGACCCGGCCGTGAACGGCATACTCGCCTCGTTCTGGGGCCTGGCGGCCGATCGGGCGTGGTGCCGGAACCCGTGTTTTTTTTTGCTGTAGTGGCCTTTATGTTGTTTTGTTCTCGTGGCGCGGACCCCGGAAGCCAGTGAGTGAGTGAACCCCGGTGCCCGCAACGACAGCAAAAAAAAAAAACGACAGCAAAAAAAAAACCCCGCCCCCGCCACGACAGCAAAAAAAAAAACGCGCCCGCGCAACGACAGCAACAAAAAAAACGCGCCCACGCAACGACAGCAAAAAAAAAACGCGCCCCCGCACCAACAGCAAAAAAGAAAAACGCGCCCGCGCAACGACAGCAAAAAAAAACGCACCCCCGCAACGACAGCGAAAAAAAAACGCGCCCCCGCAACGGCAGCCGAACAAAAAGCGCGCCCCCGGGGACGACCGCCCTCGCAAACAACAGTATCGGGAACGACACAATATCTGGGCGTTTAGGTTGCTCATTTAAGGTTTCTATCTAGTAGTAGTAGTAGTAGTAGTAGTAGTAGTAGTAGTAGTAGTAGTAGTAGTAGTAGTAGTAGTAGTAGTATAGTAGTATAGTAGTAGTAGTAGTAGTAGTAGTAGTAGTAGTAGTAGTAGTAGTAGTAGTAGTAGTAGTAGTAGTAGTAGTAGTAGTAGTAGTAGTAGTACTAGTAGTACTAGTAGTACTAGTAGTACTTGTAGTACTTGTAGTACTAGTAGTAGTAGTACTAGTAGTACTAGTAGTACTAGTAGTACTAGTAGTAGTAGTACTAGTAGTAGGGAGGGCGTACCCCCAACCCCCCCGCTGTTTTAAGCCGTCTGCAAGCTTGCGTGATCTTGCGTGACAGCATATAGAGGTCGTTTCGGGGAACCCGCCCTGCATAATATGATATGTGCGTTTTGGAAACAACGCCATTCACCCTGCGAAAAAATTGTTTGCAAATGGGAAGCCTGTCCCGCACGTGCGAGAGTGCCAAGCTTGCTTGACAGCATATATATGCGTTTTATTTAAAACCAAGCATGCGAGCATCCTGACTGGCTGCCCCCTTAAACCCCGCCCCCCCCCCCGCCCCGCCGCCCATATGATTTTGTTGTAAACACCAGCCATGCGAGCATCGTGATTGCGAATGGGGGGGGCTGCGCCCCCCCCAACCCCCCCGCTGTTTTCAGCCGTGTGCAAGGTTACATGACGGCGTAGAAGTCGTTCTTGAAACCCGCGATCCCTGAGATGTGCCTTTTAATCCAATACCATTTTTTACCTTGTGACAAGGGTGTTTGCAATCGGGGAGCCTGCGCCGGGCATGCGAGAGTGGCACTTGGTTGACAGCACATATGCGTTTTTTGTTTCAGCCGACCACGCGACCATCATAGAATCGCAAATGTGGGGGGCTGCGCCCCCCTCCAACGCCCCCGCTGTTTAAACCAGCCATCGTGATTGAAAATGGGGGGGGCTGCCCCCCCCCAACCCCCCGCTGTTTTAAGCCTTGCGCAAGGTTGCATGACAGCCTGGGAGTCGTTCTTGAAACCCGCGATGCCTGAGATGAGTCGTTTAGAGACAAAACACCATTCACCTTGTGACAAGGGTGCTTGCAATTGGGAACCTGCGCCGGACATGCGAGAGTGCGCACTTGCTTGACAGCACTGTTTCTTTTTTTGCTTTAACCGACCACGCGACCATCATAATTGCAAATGTGGGCGGGGGGGGGGGGCTGCCTCCCCCAACCCCACCGCGGTTTCAAGCCGTCTGCAAGCTTGCGTGACAGCATAGGGGTCGTTGCTGAAACACACCCTGCATAATATGTGCGTTTTTGAAACAACGCCATTCACCTTGCGAAATATGTGTTTGCAAATGGGAAGCCTGTCCCGCATGTGCGAGAGTGCCAAGCTTGCATGACAGCATATATGCGTTTTGTTTAAAACCAAGCATGCGAGCATCCTGACTGGCTGCCCCCCTTTAACCCCGGCCCCCCCCCCCCGCCCCGCCGCCCATATGATTTTGTTGTAAACCAGCCATGCGAGCATCGTGATTGCGAATGGGGCCCGCTGTTTTAAGCCGCGCGCAAGGTTGCATGACAGCCTATATAGGAGTCGTTCTTGAAACCCGCGATGCCTGAGATGAGTCTTTTTGAAACAAAACACCATTCAGACATCGAAATCAAATCAGCCAAAATTGTGCACGGCACCCCATGGGGCGACACATTCAGCCGGTATCCTGTGTAAATAATAGGACGTGGGGGCCCAAATAAGAACAAAAAGAACCAAAAACAACAAAAACGGACCGAAATAAAACTCCACCCGTACATAGTAGTAGGAGTAGTAGTAGTAGTAGTAGTAGCAGCAGGAGTAGTAGTGTAGTATAGGTAGGGCGATGTGGAGGTGAGCTGAGAAGACGTATCTTTCCTAGAAGGAATATATGGGTGGAACATGCCTTGATTCTGTCATACAGACATGTTTCCGACCGAATGCTTGTCTGTAGTATTCCGTCATCACTATTACGGAAGACATGCGTTTGAGGGGTGTGTAGTACGTGCGAAGCAAGAAACCCCGGCACGCGCAACAACACAACGGCGAAACAAAAGCAGTAGTTTTGCTTCGCATCGCTGTAAGGTCCAACCTTTCGATACTCAGCTGTCACTTGCTATGCAGTCAGTCGACGCGCCATGCAGGAGCCAAGCAAGTAGTAGTAGTAGTAGTAGTAGTAGTAGTAGTTTTAGTAGTAGTAGTAGTAGTAGTTGTCGCAGCAGTAGTAGCAGCAGTAGTAGTAGTAGTAGTAGTCGTAGTAGTAGTAGTAGTCGTAGTAGTAGTAGTAGTAGTAGTAGTAGTAGTAGTAGTAGTAGTAGTAGTGCTAGTAGTAGTAGTAGTAGTCGTCGTCGTCGTCGTCGTAGTAGTAGTAGTAGTTGTTGTTGTAGTGGTAGTAGTAGTATAGTAATAGTATAGTAGTAGTAATAACCATGATGATAATAAACAAGCGCCCGGGGAGCGCAACGACAGCGAAAAAAAACCGCGCCCCGCAGGCACGACAGCCAAAAAAACAACGCGCCCGCAGGGACAGAGCCAAAAAAAAAAACGGCCCGCAGGGACGACAGCAAAAAAAAAACGCGCCCCGCAGGGACGACAGCAAAAAAAAAAAACGCGCCCCCCAAAAAAAAAACGCGCCCCGCAACGACAGCAAAAAAAAAAAACAAAAAAAAAACGCACCGCACGCAGCAAAAAAAAAAAAACGCGCCTCGCAACGACGCAAAAAAAAAACGCGCGCAGGGACGACAGCAAAAAAAAAAACGCGCCCCCGCCACGACAGCAAAAAAAAACGCGCCCGCGCAACGAAAGCAAAAAAAGAAACGCGCCCCGCCACGACAGCAAAAAAGCCACGACAGCAAAAAAAAACACTCTTACCGCGTGGTGCCCTGAGTTCTACAGGGTCCCCTCGGCCGCGAATGTTTCCGACGCCGTCTCTCGGGGCGATGTCTCCCGCGCGGTCCCGGAGGGATGGTGCCGAGTGCGAGCCCCCATCGACGACGTCATGGTGATCCTCGGGCGGGCGGCGTCCGACATCGACTACGCCTGCCACGAGGCTCCTGAAAGGCTGCTTGATCTTGCTTCTTGGTAGGAGTGCCGGCGCCTTGTGGGCGGTGGGTGCGCCGGGCGGACGCAGAAGTGCGCACCCCGGCACCGGCACCGGTTTTCGGGGCGGTGTGCTCGGCCGGGCGCATTCTATGCGACTCGACCATCCAAAAGGAGCCACTGCATCCTAGTAGGATTTTGGGCTAACTCGTTAGCGCAGCGCTTGTTGTGTAGCGCACGTGTGCGAGTAGGAACAAGCGCTAGCGATCGACCGCAGTCTGCCGGCTCGATCGCCTAATTTCAGTTCCCGCCCACTCCACCCTGGAGGTTTAAATTGACTTACATACGGCCGTCACCCGCCCCACCGGGCGGTTGTCCGGGGCGGACGCAGAAGTGCGCACCCCGGCACCGGCACCGGTTTTCGGGGCGGTGTGCTCGGCCGGGCGCATTCTATGCGACTCGACCATCCAAAAGGAGCCACTGCACCCTAGTAGGATTTTGGGCTAACTCGTTAGCGCAGCGCTTGTTCCATCCGAATCCCGTGGCTGCTCTGTCCGTGTGCTATGGCTGACATCTGCTGTTGGCAGTTGTGGATGGGCACGTCAGATGACTGGATCGGCACGACCGACGAACCGACCAAAGAGCAAGGTAGCGAGTCGCGTGGTTGCAATCCGCGTGGCATTGTAGGTCTTTCCTTCAGGTGAATTCCGCATGGGCAGCTTCACCTCTGCGGCACATGGAAGCGTGCTCCACGTGTTCTCCGGTGTGACACTTATTTCCTTATTGCCACGTGTGCAAGCTCCTACGTTTGGTTTCCGTGTTTGAGATTTTCGGGCGATGAATTGCTTAACTTAGCTAGGCGTTGCCTTCCTAGCCCGATCGTATGTGACATGTCATTGCCGTCGCCTGGGGTTTGCCCATTTATCCCGAAGACCGACAACACATTTTAAAGACACTTGGGGCCGCCGTCTCAGGCTCTCTAGACTCTAGAACGGTATGCGAAGACACGTGGGCGTCAGCACACACAAACCTGCCGAACGCAGCGCAGAGCAAGAAGGTCCTGATGCAGGGGTGTGCAGTTCGTGTGATGCAAAACGTATCCCAAGTAACGCAAGGGGGCCTTGTGCTCTCCGAACACGAGGCCTAAGGCCTAAGGCCTAATGAGGATTACAGACATCGAATTTATCCTTCGCTTGTCGTTCGTAACCGTGTCTGTAAGTTCGTGGTGTAATTTATGCCGTTTCTGCACATCGTGTCATGTCCAACAATGCGCAAGGTGTCAGCACCTTGGTTGTACCTCATAGGACAAGACGGTGCAGCTTCACCGGTTCCCAAACGTGCCAGGTGAACGGTTAAACTTCGAGCCTTCAAGATCGAGAGCCAATGCAACTATCCACAGCTAGCGCCGCCTTCGCCAACCTCCGAAAAGCCACCAGACCCCAGAGTAGGCGGACTGCTGCGGTGTTCAGCGTTCCTTGTGTTGGGGAAGGAGACGTGGGAGAGCGAGGCAGGAGGAGCGGGATGGGGAAGGCTTGAGGCGGGGATGGGTGGGGAGCAGGAGATGGCGCCAAAGTTCGTATGTTTGGGTGAACGGTGGACGGGAGGGGGGCCTTACAAACAGTGTTGTGCCGTCTCCATCGCCTCACTCAGTGCAATGCCTCGTATGTTTTTGTTATTCGTGCCTGCTTGTTGCATGCCTTTTCGAGGTTATTTCGCTGCGGTACAATGCAGGCGTGAGCAAACACAACAACGAGTAAACACAATCAGCATGCACCCGCGAACGAACCTTGGTCCTGCTCGCTTAGATAAGGAGTGGACAATGCATACAAACAAAGCACGAGCTTCTCTGGTCTTTGCTTTAGTCGTTCCTGGTTGAGGAATGAGAGCTCGAGCTTGTCATTCGATTGTGTCTTCCAAACAACAGCTACATTTCGTATCGGCGTCCTTTGCGATACATCCGCTCGTGTATACCGGATGATGAGGTATACTCGGCTGGACACCATTGAATACCATGGATGCTCTTGCATAGCTTTAGGGATGAGTTCCGTTCCATTGAACCTTTCTCCTACTTCTCCTGTTAAGACTCATGTGGGGTAATGAAACATGAAGGTATGTGGGTATTAGTCTAAATCAGATTACGCCCGCAGAGAAGTAAGCTGAACAAGAACTCAATTTTCGCTCCTCTATTCGCGAGTAGTCCAGGGAGTAACTTACGGAGATTTCGTACATTTTTGTTGCAGGATCCGCGTCAGAGTTCCTTTTCATGATGATTAGATAGGCGACTCAGGAGAGGCATTAGCATGCCATCCACCTGTACACGCCAGCCAAGCACCGACCTGCAGAAGACTTGTCTTCAATGGTTTTTGGACCAGGCTGAGCAGTCTTTTCGTGTGTTAATTAGATAAAAACGGCACACAGGTAACACGGAGGTTAGAAGTGCATGCCTGGATCCTGGCTGCTTTCAGGTTTGATTCTCAGTGCTGTTGCGTGTTGTTGGTTGGTTTTGGCTTTCAACTTGAGTGTTTAGTTCATGTAATAGTAACAAGCTTCGTAAGTGAACACACATTCCTTAGCACAGCACCCACTTTTGTTTGTATCATGAGCACATACTATCAATTGGAAATACTTCTTCTGCCTGGATTTCTTTTTGTTCTTTCTTGGCCGAGGTGAGGAGGACGTCTTTTTCTTTTCGACTCACCCTCAAAGCCATGCAATCATCCTCGCTCACTACGGGCACTGGAGCGACGTAGTTGACCCGGCCTCAGCGAAACCCTACTGCTGCCCTCCTCTCAGAGATGCAATGCTGCCCAGCCAATATGAGCCACCAGGGAGACAAAGCTTGTCGCTGCAGGGCGTGACAGCGTCAGAGTTGCACTCGTCGCAGTCAGATGGGGCATATGGAGTTTATGTCAGCATCTCAGCGATCGATCGGAAGAAATGGACCGACATGTCTACGATGCTGAGGTGCCGGTGGGACCTTTTGCCGATGGCGAATCCAAGTCCGTGAGCGTCTATTTCGCTGTTGCTTGGTTCAAGCGCACTTGCGAAGTGTTGTCATTGCCCCTGCTCCGGTCGTCAAGGCAGCAGCTGGTCATCGCTTGACAGAGCTTCTCCATGAAACGGAGGCTGCACGTGACAAAGGCGGGCAGAGCAGGCAGAATGCAGAAGCAGGTGCCTTGCCACGGTGCAAAAAAGTCAGCTTCCAGACGTCACTACAACGTCAACGACAACAACCACTACCACTGCAGCACCGCTTGCCACGGACTTGCAGGGGTTCGCAGGGCACGTAAAAGACGCCAGCTTCACCTGACCACGGTCAGGTCCTGCAGACGCCCGCCCTGAGACTGGCTTTCCTTCCGGGAGGAGGCTAGGCTAGGTGGCTCGAAACTAGGAACAGCCGCTGCCCCGCCTCTCGATTGCGCTTTTGCCAGGTCTCGGGCAGCCGTTCTACAAGTCCAGCAGACGTGGTTGGACCAAGTTGACGTACAACAACCAAAACCTGGACTGCAGTGTCAAGGTGTGGCCGCAAGCCTTTGATGCGTAAGTTTTGACAGGGTAGCAGATGAGGAGTGTCTCTGTGGTGCTCAGGTGAATGGCCACTTAACCGACATGGGTGGCACCCGCCTGAGCAAAGTAAGTCTACTCGTACGTCATCCTGGCATATCAGGTCTGCAGACTGTGCACTGTCGCACTGGCAAAGGCAATGTTGCTCTGGACTTCAAGAACTCCAGCTACGCCCGAGCAAGCGGAGCGCTATCACTATCTGGGACACCGCAGGCGCCGCAATTTCAGGGCTCTGACCATTCACGCAGCGAACTCCGGAAGACCTCCCATCGGTCGATGCATCCTAGTGGTGCACATTCATGACACACGCAGACAACATTCCGACAGGTGCAGCTCACCAGACTCTTGGAATCCATTCTGACCTGAGCGACGGTAAATGGGTGCAGACTTCGTGCAGTTTATCATGCTGAGATGCACCAAGGAACTTATAGCTTTCTTGGCAATGGCCTGGTCTTCAAAGCCCACTTCCAAGTTGTGGCCTTACAGGCCGTGTCCAACGTGCAGGCCTGGGAACATGCGGGGTAGCATGGCGCGGGCACGGGGGCACGTGGCACAAGGGAGAAAGTAGTCTCGCGAGCCAGAGAGAAAGATGTTGCAGAAGCGAGCACGCGAAAGACGTGGTGAGAAGCGCCACCGCGGTAAGCAGGTTTGGATGGGAACTTCAGATGACTGGATCGGGACATCGGATCGGCCAACGAAGGTTCAAGGCATCTCTGCCCAGTCTCGGGACGTGATCTGCTGCATCTCTTTGCAGTGCAAGGTGTCTTCCGCGGAGGCGAGTTTGTGCCAACTCCACACGGCCGAATCTTGCGGGTCCACTCAGGCAGGGACCGTCGGATGCTGCATGGGGTCTACGCTTCCCTAACGCTTCTTTCAGCTTGGGGTTGGCAGGGCTCACTCTGCAAAGGGTGAGCGGCGAGGGGAGACTCTGTGCCGGGTGGTGCATCCGGTAGACTCAGACGTGGTTTGCGAGGTGAGGAGGATGTCTTCGTGTATTCGACTCATCCCGACAGCCATGCCATCATACTGTCCCACTATGGCCAGTGGGATGACGTGCTGGTAAGATCCTCAGCCATAGGGTGCCCGGAAGTGTCCCGCACCAGCTTCGGTTCCCGAGGCTGCTACACAATCAGACCTCCACTCATCAACTTCGGATGGGGCCTATGGCATCTACGCTTGGATCTCGGAGTCCTCAGATTTTTTGGTTTCGGAGTCAATGATTCCACATCTTAAAACAGCAGTCTCTTCAGGTGCCTCTGGGGAGAATGGCTGCCGGGGAGAGCAAATCTGCGAGTGTCTATTATGCCGTCGCATGATGCGATTACTTTGCTATGTGCGGCCACTGTGACAAGAGCTCATGACAACAGGGGGGCGGGGGGGCTGGCTGAGGCGGCAGATGCTGACCACATAGCCGAGCTCCTCCATGAAGCAGAGGCTGCACACGACAAAGGCGGGCAGAGCAGCAGAAGCGGGTGGCGCTTCAAGCAATTCAGCTTCCAGACGTCACTACAACGTCAACGACAACAACCACTACCACTGCAGCACCGCTTGCCACGGACTTGCCGGGGTTCGCAGGGCACGTAAACGACGCCAGCTTCACCTGACCACGGTCAGGTCCTGCAGACGCCCGCCCTGAGACTGGCTTTCCTTCCGGGAGGAGGCTAGGCTAGGTGGCTCGAAACTAGGAACATCTAGGAACAGCCGCTGCCCCGCCTCTCGATTGCGCTTTTGCCAGGTCTCGGGCAGCCGTTCTACAAGTCCAGCAGACGTGGTTGGACCAAGTTGACGTACAACAACCAAAACCTGGACTGCAGTGTCAAGGTGTGGCCGCAAGCCTTTGATGCGTAAGTTTTGACAGGGTAGCAGATGAGGAGCGTCTGTTCAGGTGAATGGCCACTTAACCGACATGGGTGGCACACGTCTGAGCAAAGTAAGTCTACTCGTACGTCATCCTGGCATATCAGGTCTGCAGAGTGCACTGTCGCACTGGCAAAGGCAATGTTGCTCTGGACTTCAAGAACTCCAGCTACGCCCGAGCAAGCGGAGCGCTATCACTATCTGGGACACCGCAGGCGCCGCAATTTCAGGGCTCTGACCATTCACGCAGCCCACTCCGGAAGACCTCCCATCGGTCGATGCATCCTAGTGGTGCACGTTCATGACACACGCAGACAACATTCCGACAGGTGCAGCTCACCAGACTCTTGGAATCCATTCTGGCCTGAGCCGACGGAAAATGGGTGCAGACTTTGCGCAGTTTATCATGCTGAGATGTACCAAGGAACGTATAGCTTCCTTGGCAATGGCCTGGTCTTCAAAGCCCACTTCCAAGTTGTGGCCTTGCAGGCCGTGTCCAACGTGCAGGCCTGGGAACATGCGGGGTTGACCGCTCTAAGGGCTTCCGAGACCGTGCCAACCCAACTACACCTAGCGTGGCGAGGGCGCTGGGGCACGCGGCACCAGGGAGAAAGTAGTCTCGCGAGCCAGAGCAAAAGATGTTGCAGAAGCGAGCACGCAAAAGACGTGGTGAGAAGCGCCACCGCGGTAAGCAGGTTTGGATGGGAACTTCAGATGACTGGATCGGGACATCGGATCGGCCAACGAAGGTTCAAGGCATCTCTGCCCAGTCTCGGGACGTGATCTGCTGCATCTCTTTGCAGTGCAAGGTGTCTTCCGCGGAGGCGAGTTTGTGCCAACTCGACACGGCCGAATCTTGCGGGTCCACTCAGGCAGGGACCGTCGGATGCTGCATGGGGTCTACGCTTCCCTAACGCTTCTTTCAGCTTGGGGTTGGCAGGGCTCACTCTGCAAAGGGTGAGCAGCGAGGGGAGACGCTGTGCCGGGTGGTGCATCCGGTAGACTCAGACGTGGTTTGCGAGGTGAGGAGGATGTCTTCGTGTATTCGACTCATCCCGACAGCCATGCCATCATACTGTCCCACTATGGCCAGTGGGATGACGTGCTGGTAAGATCCTCAGCCATAGGGTGCCCGGAAGTGTCCCGCACCAGCTTCGGTTCCCGAGGCTGCTACACAATCAGACCTCCACTCATCAACTTCGGATGGGGCCTATGGCATCTACGCTTGGATCTCGGAGTCCTCAGATTTTTTGGTTTCGGAGTCAATGATTCCACATCTTAAAACAGCAGTCTCTTCAGGTGCCTCTGGGGAGAATGGCTGCCGGGGAGAGCAAATCTGCGAGTGTCTATTATGCCGTCGCATGATGCGATTACTTTGCTATGCGCGGCCACTGTGACAAGAGCTCATGACAACAGGGGGGCGGGGGGGCTGGCTGAGGCGGCAGATGCTGACCACATAGCCGAGCTCCTCCATGAAGCAGAGGCTGCACACGACAAAGGCGGGCAGAGCAGCAGAAGCGGGTGGCGCTTCAAGCAATTCAGCTTCCAGACGTCACTACAACGTCAACGACAACAACCACTACCACTGCAGCACCGCTTGCCACGGACTTGCAGGGGTTCGCAGGGCACGTAAACGACGCCAGCTTCACCTGACCACGGTCAGGTCCTGCAGACGCCCGCCCTGAGACTGGCTTTCCTTCCGGGAGGAGGCTAGGCTAGGTGGCTCGAAACTAGGAACATCTAGGAACAGCCGCTGCCCCGCCTCTCGATTGCGCTTTTGCCAGGTCTCGGGCAGCCGTTCTACAAGTCCAGCAGACGTGGTTGGACCAAGTTGACGTACAACAACCAAAACCTGGACTGCAGTGTCAAGGTGTGGCCGCAAGCCTTTGATGCGTAAGTTTTGACAGGGTAGCAGATGAGGAGTGTCTCTGTGGTGCTCAGGTGAATGGCCACTTAACCGACATGGGTGGCACACGCCTGAGCAAAGTAAGTCTACTCGTACGTCATCCTGGCATATCAGGTCTGCAGAGTGCACTGTCGCACTGGCAAAGGCAATGTTGCTCTGGACTTCAAGAACTCCAGCTACGCCCGAGCAAGCGGAGCGCTATCACTATCTGGGACACCGCAGGCGCTGCAATTTCAGGGCTCTGACCATTCACGCAGCGAACTCCGGAAGACCTCCCATCGGTCGATGCATCCTAGTGGTGCACGTTCATGACACACGCAGACAACATTCCGACAGGTGCAGCTCACCAGACTCTTGGAATCCATTCTGACCTGAGCGACGGTAAATGGGTGCAGACTTCGTGCAGTTTATCATGCTGAGATGTACCAAGGAACGTATAGCTTCCTTGGCAATGGCCTGGTCTTCAAAGCCCACTTCCAAGTTGTGGCCTTACAGGCCGTGTCCAACGTGCAGGCCTGGGAACATGCGGGGTAGCATGGCGCGGGCACGGGGGCACGCGGCACAAGGGAGAAAGTAGTCTCGCGAGCCAGAGAGAAAGATGTTGCAGAAGCGAGCACGCGAAAGACGCGGTGAGAAGCGCCACCGCGGTAAGCAGGTTTGGATGGGAACTTCAGATGACTGGATCGGGACATCGGATCGGCCAACGAAGGTTCAAGGCATCTCTGCCCAGTCTCGGGACGTGATCTGCTGCATCTCTTTGCAGTGCAAGGTGTCTTCCGCGGAGGCGAGTTTGTGCCAACTCCACACGGCCGAATCTTGCGGGTCCACTCAGGCAGGGACCGTCGGATGCTGCATGGGGTCTACGCTTCCCTAACGCTTCTTTCAGCTTGGGGTTGGCAGGGCTCACTCTGCAAAGGGTGAGCAGCGAGGGGAGACGCTGTGCCGGGTGGTGCATCGGGTAGACTCAGACGTGGTTTGCGAGGTGAGGAGGATGTCTTCGTGTATTCGACTCATCCCGACAGCCATGCCATCATACTGTCCCACTATGGCCAGTGGGATGACGTGCTGGTAAGATCCTCAGCCATAGGGTGCCCGGAAGTGTCCCGCACCAGCTTCGGTTCCCGAGGCTGCTACACAATCAGACCTCCACTCATCAACTTCGGATGGGGCCTATGGCATCTACGCTTGGATCTCGGAGTCCTCAGATTTTTTGGTTTCGGAGTCAATGATTCCACATCTTAAAACAGCAGTCTCTTCAGGTGCCTCTGGGGAGAATGGCTGCCGGGGAGAGCAAATCTGCGAGTGTCTACTATGCCGTCGCATGATGCGATTACTTTGCTATGTGCGGCCGCTGTGACAAGAGCTCATGACAACAGGGGGGCGGGGGGGCTGGCTGAGGCGGCAGATGCTGACCACATAGCCGAGCTCCTCCATGAAGCAGAGGCTGCACACGACAAAGGCGGGCAGAGCAGCAGAAGCGGGTGGCGCTTCAAGCAATTCAGCTTCCAGACGTCACTACAACGTCAACGACAACAACCACTACCACTGCAGCACCGCTTGCCACGGACTTGCAGGGGTTCGCAGGGCACGTAAACGACGCCGGCGTCACCTGACCACGGTCAGGTCCTGCAGACGCCCGCCCTGAGACTGGCTTTCCTTCCGGGAGGAGGCTAGGCTAGGTGGCTCGAAACTAGGAACAGCCGCTGCCCCGCCTCTCGATTGCGCTTTTGCCAGGTCTCGGGCAGCCGTTCTACAAGTCCAGCAGACGTGGTTGGACCAAGTTGACGTACAACAACCAAAACCTGGACTGCAGTGTCAAGGTGTGGCCGCAAGCCTTTGATGCGTAAGTTTTGACAGGGTAGCAGATGAGGAGCGTCTCTGTGGTGCTCAGGTGAATGGCCACTTAACCGACATGGGTGGCACACGTCTGAGCAAAGTAAGTCTACTCGTACGTCATCCTGGCATATCAGGTCTGCAGAGTGCACTGTCGCACTGGCAAAGGCAATGTTGCTCTGGACTTCAAGAACTCCAGCTACGCCCGAGCAAGCGGAGCGCTATCACTATCTGGGACACCGCAGGCGCCGCAATTTCAGGGCTCTGACCATTCACGCAGCCCACTCCGGAAGACCTCCCATCGGTCGATGCATCCTAGTGGTGCACATTCATGACACATGCAGACCCCATTCCGACAGGTGCAGCTCACCAGACTCTTGGAATCCATTCTGGCCTGAGCCGACGGTAAATGCGTGCAGACTTTGTGCAGTTTATCATGCTGAGATGTACCGAGGAACATATAGCTTTCTTGGCAATGGCCGGCTCTTCAAAGCCCACTTCCAAGTTGTGGCCTTACAGGCCGTGTCCAACGTGCAGGCCTGGGAACATGCGGGGTAGCATGGCGCGGGCACGGGGGCACGTGGCACAAGGGAGAAAGTAGTCTCGCGAGCCAGAGAGAAAGATGTTGCAGAAGCGAGCACGCAAAAGACCTGGTGAGAAGCGCCACTGCGGTAAGCAGGTTTGGATGGGGACTTCAGATGACTGGATCGGGACATCGGATCGGCCAACGAAGGTTCAAGGCATCTCTGCCCAGTCTCGGGACGTGATCTGCTGCATCTCTTTGCAGTGCAAGGTGTCTTCCGCGGAGGCGAGTTTGTGCCAACTCCACACGGCCGAATCTTGCGGGTCCACTCAGGCAGGGACCGTCGGATGCTGCATGGGGTCTACGCTTCCCTAACGCTTCTTTCAGCTTGGGGTTGGCAGGGCTCACTCTGCAAAGGGTGAGCAGCGAGGGGAGACGCTGTGCCGGGTGGTGCATCGGGTAGACTCAGACGTGGTTTGCGAGGTGAGGAGGATGTCTTCGTGTATTCGACTCATCCCGACAGCCATGCCATCATACTGTCCCACTATGGCCAGTGGGATGACGTGCTGGTAAGATCCTCAGCCAAAGGGTGCCCGGAAGTGTCCCGCACCAGCTTCGGTTCCCGAGGCTGCTACACAATCAGACCTCCACTCATCAACTTCGGATGGGGCCTATGGCATCTACGCTTGGATCTCGGAGTCCTCAGATTTTTTGGTTTCGGAGTCAATGATTCCACATCTTAAAACAGCAGTCTCTTCAGGTGCCTCTGGGGAGAATGGCTGCCGGGGAGAGCAAATCTGCGAGTGTCTACTATGCCGTCGCATGATGCGATTACTTTGCTATGTGCGGCCGCTGTGACAAGAGCTCATGACAACAGGGGGGCGGGGGGGCTGGCTGAGGCGGCAGATGCGGATCGTCTAGCGGAGCTTCTCAGGGATGCCAGTGCAGCTTCGCACGAAGGCAATGGGGTATGGAAAGCTTGCGCTCAGCTGTGCTTTGCAACTCCTTTGACGCTTGCCTTTCTAGATGATACTACGACGACCACGAGCACAGCACCTCCTCCGGTGGCACATGCAAAAGGCTTAGATCTGTGCAGAAATGGGCAAGCAAAGCAGTGTTGTTTTGCCAAGATCTTGAAATCGTCGACGTTGCGGTTTGCCCTGCTCGAAGAGGGAGGTGCAGACAAGGGGTAAGATACCCGACCCCTTGCATCCAGATTCTGGTTTCGATTACTTGGTCAGGCCTGGGCGGACCTCTTTACCGTTCCGAGCTCATGGGCTGGACGAAGTTGACCTACAACCATCAGAACTTGGACTGCACTGTCAAGGCTGCTCGTAGCTTGTTGGCTTGATACTTTGTGAAGGATTGTGAGCCTTACAACTCCCAGTGACACTGGCTTTTGTCAGGTGAATGGTCGAGTGGTAGACTACAGCAGCCTGCAGCTCAAAGCAGAGTGCGCAGTGGGTTGTCTGCGAACATGTCCAAGCTCGGCCTGGCCGACACAAAACTTCCGGCGAGAGCAAGCAGCATTTTGCCCTTTCTGCTGTGTCCGTGTCACCATGCCGTCATCTCGCTACGCTCCGCCGAGCCCGTGGGGCTTGTGGCTTTCTCGTGACACTCTTACTCGCCTTCTCGGCGTTTCCGCTTTCTGTTCTTTTTCTTTGGTGGAACTGCAGCTCTTGAATGATCTGTCAGTACCTGTGCTGCTGGCCTCAGCAAACCCACTGAGATGCTGCCAGCATCTGTCAGAACTGGGAGGTGCAGCAAGAAAGCGCGAAAATTTTGATGCCACTTCGCCGCCCGCAGCTTCAGGTGATCCACGCGAGGTGTTCTTCAGCAACTCGAGCTATGCTACGTCTATTTCGCGACTGAAATTGGATGGACATGAAGTGGCGCCTCGGCAGATCTTGGCAGCCGGTAGCCTTGGCCTTGGCCGTCCTCGAGAGCACAAAGCACTCAGAGCACACCGTAGCACACTTGCAGTACACTTGCCGCGGGTCATCGCGGGCCGTGGCAGCTGAGGCAGTTCTGACGCGACGCTTGGCACTGAACAACCGAGTTGGACTCGAAGATGAATAGCTCGGTATTGAATGATTGAGTATGTCTAAGTCTAAGCGCAGATGTCTACCAAGGGGTGTATAGCTTCCTGGAAGATGGCCTTGTCTTCCGAGCTCAATTCACTGCCGTCGCGCTGGCAGAGATATCGAGTCTGGAGGTGGGGCGTGAGTTGGCTGAAGCTTTGTGGAGCCGAGATCACTCGAGCAAAGCAGGTGTGGATGGGAACGTCTAATGACTGGCTTGGGAGCACTGACCGGCCCACCAAAGAACAAGGCGGCACCGTGCAGCTGAGGGATGCCAGTGATGCAGTAGGAGGAGGATGCAGTACTCAGTAGGTCTGTGAAGTTTGGGTGTCTTTGCTGCATCGGACCGGTCTCTGCAGGTGCCTTTCACGGGGATGACTTTACTCCCGTCCCACAGGCATGCATTCTACGTGTACGCTCCCGTCCGAAGCTAAATCGCTCTTACCGGATACAGATCCTGTCCAAAGATTGAGGAACTTGAATCGATCTTCTCTCAGGAGAGGAGACTTTGTTCTTCTTTTCCAACCACCCTGACAGCCATGCTATCATTGTCGAGCAGCCCGGGCGCTGGCAGGACGTATATGCGTGGGCCCGATTTCATGGTCACCTGAATTTCCAGGTCTACTTGGGACGCCCAGTGTCAAGCAAGGCCCTGACCTCGTCTTCAACAGAAGCATCTGTGGCCGACGGCGCTTATGGGATCTACGTGAGCTGGGCAGCAAGCGGAGACCGCCGCGTCAGCGTCTTGTGGAGTGCAGGGAGTGCTGTGGTCTCTCGAGGTGCCCTTTGGAAAGTTCGGGCTCGGCGAGACCAAGTCCGCGAGCTTCTTCTATGGAGCAGCTTGGTCTCGAACTGTCGGGAAGCGTACATGTTCACATTCTGCATGAAGCCGCTGTTTTTGGGAAAACGCGAACGAGATGAATCCAAGGCTGGAGGGCTCGGCTGTTAACTGAAATCGATCAGGTTTGAGCAGTTTTGAGCACAGTGCCACCTATTGAATGGCTACTTGCAGGCTCAGACTCAGGCTTTGGTTCATGGGCTTGGCATCAAAGCTTTGCATGCTCTGAGCCCTATCCTGGCCTACGTACCCGAGGCGACGGAGGCAGATCGCTTGGTCGATCTGATGCCCGCGACTGCAAGAGTTTTCCGAACTTATCCAATGGCCCCAAGCAGAAACAACCTCTTGGCAACTCAGCTGCATGTAATCTGTGAGTTGCAGGCCTGGAGCCACCGCTTGTGCAAATCCGGCCTTCGGCCTTGAGACTTACGATACGTCCTGGAGGTGCAAGACTACGAGCAGTGCACAGACGGATCAGCGAACTCCTCCGTGGAGCCTAAGACTGATCTATTGGGGACCTGCCGATGGTTTACAATTTACAGCATGAAATCGTGCGGATTGAATCCTGTTGTGGCAAAGGCGCCTTAGACATGGAATGTAGCAGCGTAGCTTCGGCTGGCAGAGCTCCTGAACTCATTTTGTCGTGATACGTAGCAAACTCCGGGACGCTAAGTTGAACGGGTCGGTTTTGGTGAGTGGACAATGCGATGCATCACCAATATCAAAGCTTTGATGTTGTTTGCGTGAATAAATGTTACTGCGACGAGCGGCCGGCAACAATAATTACTTCGATGTTGTCATAAAAAGCCGGGCGACAGCAACGGCAACCCTTCCATGTCGCAGTCATGATAGAATGTTGGCAAAAGGAAGTTGGCAGCAATAGTTCGGTTTTGTAATCGTATTTACATGTTGCGAACAAGAGCGGCCGTTCGATGCACTTACTGGTTTTGCTGCTGGTGATGCTCCCCTTCTTGTGTGCCTTGGTGTGTGCGTGTGTGCGTCTGTGTGACTGCTGGGTGATATAACCACGCATGCGAAGGTGATTTGATGTTAACTGGTCTCCTCAGCCACCAGTTGCGGCTTCTCACCACTCAGCACGATCCAGGTCGAATTCAGAAAGTTCCAGCACTGCTGCATTTCGTGCCACCAAAGCCCTAAGCCTCGGCTGAGGATCCCGTTTGCAGCACGAAACGTCCCACAATCGAAGACAGATTAAGATGCCCGTCACTCGACGCTCCGCCATGGAAAACCTGCAGATCTGAACAGATATTAAGCAGTCTACACACGCCGCCTACTTATGAGGAAGAAGACGTGGAAACAGAAAGCACGGCGTCGACGTACAACCCTACTGGTGAAGGCGTCGCGAGGCAAAAAGACACAGCGGGCATATATGCTGTAGCATATCGGAACCCAACACGCCGCTGGCCTGACCAAGGGTGGAACGGAACAGCAACTACCGTCAGCCAAGGGCTCAGCACACAACGTCGGTGGTGCGGACGACGAGCCGACGCGGCGTGGGACGCTTCCGTAGAAGGCAGTTACGCCACTCGGTCGCCAGGGAGGCTGGCAGTGATGCTCAAAGTGGCATCGTTGCGCTACAGGCTTTATTTACCTCGCATCGTCTGTGCGCCTGGCTGCTCCTTCTCGTGCAGCAGACGCCCTGTGCTCCAAGTTGCTGTCACTGACTGATCGCCCACTCGGAGCAGCAGATACTTCGGAATCAGACCAACCTGGTGCGGCACGTTGTTGCTTTGTGTTTCCAGATTTGGCTCTGCATATTTCTGCATCATTTCGTCGTGGGCCAGAGTTGCCGAACCGACACTGCACAGTGTCGGGTTTTGGAGTCGAAAAGCACATAGACCGAAGTTCGCTTAGCGAAGGCTTGGATGGCTTGGTATCCCGTTGCGTTTGAAGCCTCCTGCAGTTTCTCAGGATTGCCAAAAAGCAGATTTTTGCTGGAATCACATGGCGGTCGTGCACAGTAACTGCCGAGTTCCTTGGCTGGAATGTTGGAATCGGGAACCTTCAAGCCTAGAATTGAAATCAGTTTCAATGCGGCCCAGGTGCTTTACGTATCAACGATGAGCATCAGCGAGCTGAAGAAGTATATTTGTGGCAAGTCAACGTGCGCTGCAGCTGCCAGGCCACCGAGAAGATGCCGCTTTGCATTGCTTCCGATGTTTGCGTTGCTGCCAGGATTGCCCAGAGAAAATGTGGGCGAACATATGCTATAGACACGAGTCGCTTGTTTGGCATCGCAACGTATCATGGTTCGTTGTCTTGCATGTTTGTTCAGCAACGCACACTTCTGCTTCAACCTTGCATAAGGTTGGCTGGCACCGGTGTTCTTCTACTACGACAGACTCGTGCTTGCAAGATCTGATGTCATTACTAGGGATTTGCTACTTGATGCTGGGTTGGTTGAGGATATTGCAGTGACGAATTTCACGTAACAGACCTCGTGAACGACCAGAGCAGCTGCGAACTGTCGCTTCTGGACCCGTGCTCTGGCGGAGGGCTGGGGAAGCACCGAGCAGTCTGAAACGCTTCGCTGGAGGACCGGCTGCATGGCTTTTGTGAACGAGCAGCGAGCTCAGGAATTTCTGGGACTCGTCACGCCACCGAGTAGAGGTGTCTGAAGCGTGCCTGAAGCAGGTGATGAGCTGCTTCACCGAAGCCGGTGCTTTTGTTCCTCGGCTTCGGATGTAAGCAGAATAGTGTAAGCCTCGGACACCGCGGACACGGATATTGCCAAGGCGCGGAACTGCAGATTGGATCAAGCAACGATGCAGGAGGTCCAAACAGTTGCCGGAACCTTGGATGCTGTACTTGGGATGATAAGTCTTGTGCGCGAGCTATGTGCGCCATTACGGGGTGCTCTCAGCCCGGAGAGACCAAACCAAGTTCCGACTGCCTGCAAGGTTGAAAGCAGGGGTTGCGCAGATGCGGCAGAGCACGCCGCGACCTTACTGGTCCTGGGCATGGAGAGATCCATGCGATTGCCTCTTCGAGGTGCTCGATCTATGCGGAGACTATGATAGTGTCCGACGTACCACCACTGCGATGAGGCAGTACCGGAGCCTCGCCACTGTTCGCTCAGGAAGCTGAGACAATGAAGCTGAGCACACAGTGCGGTAGCTGCAGTGAAGCTCAAGGAAATTCTTCCAGCAGTCTGGAGTGGCAGCGCTGCCATCTCCGCCAGGTGCACATTCCAGCCGGGCCATGCTTTGTTGCCCTTGAAGGAATCTGGAAACAGTTGTTGATGCACTAAGGCAGCAGTCTTCGCACCGAGAGTAGTGTTTGTAGCTCACAGACGCATTAACAGCTGTTAGGTCTCACCACCGGGTTTGTGCAGGTGGTAAGAGGCATCAAAGTATGATGTGCGGTGATGTGCGCATGTCGAAACGAGGTCTGACACCGTGGCCGACAAACACATCGCACTTCCTGACGCCGGCCTACGAGCGCTGCACGGGGTTGACTGCAGACATCACGGAGAGGAACAGCGAGGCACGGGGTTTCTAAGAAGCGGATATAACTCGGTTGACACGAGTACAGTTTGTTGACGCCTATTTTTCTACCTAGGCCGGGTTGGTGCTTCGGGAGGCGGAATCGAACGCTCAGGAAGCGCTACGATGTGCACTCAACAGAGAGCGGGTCGCAACTCCCGGAACAACACTTCTCGTCAAATCCCTGCAGTCTGAAGCTGGAACAGGAAAGCTGCCGCTGGAAGGGGAGTCCACAACCTAGGAAAGGTTCCGCAGAGTCAGGGTGCCTGATCTCGATTTGGGCCTACGAGCTGTAATTAAGTTGACACTAAAAGGGCTCATTCCGGGATGCATTGCCGGGCCAGGAATGTCACACGGCTGTGCATTGCCACAGCCTCCTCGCAGCAGCGACGACAGCTTGTGACGTGACGCTTGCCTAGAGTCTGTTGCTCGAATTGACTGATCCAACTTCTGCCAGCCCAATGTGCATAGTCTCCATCACTTCCCGTCCAACAGAATGATGACTGATTTGCTGAATGGTTCGCAATTCTCACGCCGTAGAGCCTGCGCGGCACAGCTGCTGGCCAAGGATTTGGCTCCCGTCGATGGGTGTCTCCTCATTGGCTGACCATGCATCTTGACACGTGCTTTTGTTCCGAGCGACGTCATTGGGGTGGGTGGTGGCGACCGCTTCAGGTCTGTGGCAGATCCCTTTGCGGCTCTTTTGCACGTCGTGTCGAGGCACAGAGCCGCTGAGCCCTTCAGTGCCCCATGCGAAAGCGTGTTTGTGCCATGATGAAGGCCGAGTGTGGCCACTTCCACCGGGCCAGAAGCGTCTTCGGCCCGGTGATGTCTTACAGGCGCAAGTACTGCCCAGACTCGGGTCACACAGACGCTCGTCCGACTTCGTTCGGTTTAGAGAGCACAAAAAGAAACTGCAGCAGAACCTGCATGATCTCAGGACATGATCAATGACCTCTTCGTGTGCAGACTGACACCGAAGAACAGCAGCACCCGACCTCACTGCGCTGCTCGACCGCGAAGTGGATTGGGTGCCGACAAGACAGGTCTCAAGGTTCGATTTACCTACGAGCACCAGTTGCCCTGCCAGATTTAGTCAATATTGCACCTAGGAAGTAGAAGCTTGATGTGGTGACTGCGGCTTTTGATCCCGAACTCTTCCTCCGACCAGCAGAAATGTCGGACAAACCGGTTTAAGGCACTCCGGGAACGACATCCGAGGAAATTCATTTCAGCATCGTACAAGCCGCAAGAGCAGCAAGGATTATCAGCAACGAGCACCATCGCGGATCTGAACACTGTGTGAGAGTCTGCGGTGTCTTGCATGTGGTGGTTGTGGTTGTGGTTTTCGGTGTTGCTGCTGTTGCTGGTGCTGGTGCTTGTTGTGATGCACCGAAGGTGCTAAGGGACATGCTGTGAGTTAACTCGACTTGTGTCCCCGCAGCTCGGGACCAAGTCGTGGAGGATTCGAAATCATTAGGCCGTGCCAGCCCATGTCGGCTTCTACCGGCGCTTTGGACATCGCTTTTGCATCTGGGGCTTTGCGCTCTATCGGTTTCTTCAATGGACTCGAAGTAGAGCAGGCCTATGACTGGATGTTCGAAGAGGGCAGGCATTGTCTCATGAGCCTAGATTGCTGCTTGTCCGCTGCAGGGCGATTATCGCTCAGGCCGGTGCTCGACGCACTTACCGCTCTTCAGGTGGGAGCTCGTGAGCCTGTGGGCACCGGAGTTCTTTCGTCGGGCGCTCGTGGGGCGCATTCGTATATGGATTGGTGTCGCATGTTTCCTGAAGAACGCGTTCAGCTCTTGCGCTGTCTTCCCAGCCTCTTGCTTCTTTGCCGTCCCGCCGGTTCCTTGGAGCGAGCAGTGCACTACCTTCGAGATTTGATGCAGCGCGGCTTCGAGGACCGTGCCTTTTGCTCGTGTGCTGTTGTTTGCCCCTACACGGGCCCCGCAGCAGCACCATGGCTCTAGACTTGTGTGATCGTTTGAGGGCCACCGGGCTGCAGCCCATTGCGCCCTTGCTTTTCGATCATGGTGTACGGCAGCTAGCCGACATCGTCCCGAACACCGCTTCTTTGCTTGCCGCCGGGGCGCAGGCCTGGCAGCTCGAAGCCTTGGTCCTAGGCCGTTTGGAGGTCAACATTGCTGTGCCCAGCGGGCGGCCGGATCATCCACAGGTTCGCCCACGGAAAAGAGCTTCGTGGGCTCTGGCCTTGGAGGCTGCCCAACCGGCAAAGAGGCAGGCGGCCCTCGATGCTTTGCAGGCAGATGTGCTTGCGGCGACCACCAAATCATCAGTGGATAGCCGTGTCAAGGCGTGGCAAGAGCTTTGCCTCGCATGGGAGAAGGTCCCTTTCCCGATCAAGGTCGAGACCGTCAAGTGCGTTGGTGCCAGCTTGAAGGCGGGCGGCTACCATTCTTGCTCCAATTATTTCGGGGCGGCCGTGGGGCATCAGATGCGCACCACGGGAGCCCCGATCGGGGAAGATGTGCGCTGGGCCATTAAGGACACAGTGCGGGCCATCAAGCGGGGGCTGGGACCGTCCCAGCTCAAGGACAGCTTCGACTTGGAGCTCTTGCAGCCCATTGTGCCTTATACTAGGCAGCGGGCAGAGTTCCACGTGGGCCAGCTTGATGCCGAGATCGATTTGGCCCTCATTGCTGCATGGTGGATGCTTCGCGAAATAGAGGTTTCTAACGCCCGTGTGCACCATTTGTACCTCAGCCGGGATGAGTCCTTCCACGCGCACTTCCTCGTTCCCATCTCGAAGGCTGACACACAGGGGCATTTGACCGTGCGCTCCTATGCTTGCATTTGCAGGGCTCGCTCTGAAAGGCTGTGCCCGTGGCACGCAGCCGATCGGCACTTGCATCGGCTGTACCTCTTGCGCAAGACCGGCACACAGATCACACACCTCTTTCCGGACAGTGACGGCGGTCCTCTCTCCAAGGTGCAGGTGGTTCGCATCTTCGAGCGGGTCCTCTCTGCGGCTGGCATTCCTTTGACGCGTCCTGACGAATGTGGCCGGGAAGTCTCTCGCTTCCAAGGGCACGTCATGCGAGTGAGTGGCACGCAGTTTCTGGCAGCTATGGGGCTCAGCGTTCCCATGATCCAATTACAAGGAAGATGGAGCAGCCGAGCCATCGACCGCTACGTGCAGTTGGCGCCGCTGCTTCGGATGCCACAGGCCGTTCGTGAAGCCAGGAACCGCGGCTCAAGCTCCTTCCTCATCGGCTCAGGGCCCGGTGTGCCCGCTGTCGCGGCAGCCCCTGAGGCAGATAGTGGACACCCCCAGTTGCCACAGCCAGCTGCGAACAAACCACGGCCAGCCAAGAAGAAGGTTGAGCTGATTGATGTCACAGGCGACGCCACCGAGGCGCTGAGTGATGGAGTCTCCGCGGGGCAGGTGCAGAAGGAGTTGCATCAGTTCATGGCGGCCGTCTTGGAGCCCAAGGAGATGTTGGTCGTGCAGCCGCGACGGAAGGTTGCACATGTGATCGCCGTTCCCGAGGAGTCCAATGACATAGCGGTTTGGCGCACCTCGTGTGGATGGGCCTATGGATGGTCCCATTTCTATCGCACAGAGAAGGGTGCCTTGGGGCCAGGGCTGCGCTTGTGTAAGCGCTGTTTTCCTGAGGAGACCGCCGACTCGAGCGACTCATCCTCGTCTTCTTCTTCTTCATCGGATTCGGGGTCTAGCTGAGCCGGGCCTTGTCAGCCTGCGATCGCTCACACCAGCCGGGAGTTTTGACGTTTCCTGGCGATCGGCCTCGCTCCTTAGAAAGGGTGCTCTGCTGCCTTTAGGGTTCACGGTTCACGGCCTCTTACCGCGAGCGCCTGCCCAGGTTTTCGAGTTTTGTCGTTTTGGTCGTGATTGGTCAAACTTTGCCTGCCTCGACAGGACCCTTATGATCACCTTCGGCCAGCTTCGACCTCTACGGCTTCGAGCTCCCGGGGTCGTTTGACCCAGATGGATTAGGCCATGTGTGGCCTTAGGTGTCGCGTGAGACACCTCTTTTGTGAGCAGTGTCGCGCGTGCGCGACAGGTCGCTCGAGCCGGGACTTGGCGCGGTGGGTCGCCCAGTCCGGCGTCGTATGAGCCGTGGAGTGTGACTGAGAACGCTCGAGGCCCGACGGTTGCCAAAAGGTGGGGGCCGTGGTCGCCTTGGCTTTTAGCACTGCTGTCACGCCAGGTCGTTTGTGTTGAAGCCTCGGCTTGCCGTGTCGAGTTGCACGCCTCAGCCTCTTGCGCGACTTTTGCAGTTTTCGGCCTCGGGGCACAGGTGTTGGTTAGGTTTCCGCTGGTGCCGTGATGGACGTCCGCGCGGGGGCAGCCCGACACTCTCGAGAGCCTCGCTACTTCGGCCGGGGTATCGGAGTACCTCATGCGCTATTTGACCGCGCGGGGGCTGGTGAGCATTGGGGCTGTTGCCCTCCTAGCCCCAGAGGCGGAGAAGTTCGCCACCACGATCATTGAGCCCCTCGCTTCGGGATGGGGCGAACTTTTTGAGTTCAAGGTCGAGACCGACGAGATGCCGATCGCTCGAGCTACCCTGCTTTACCTTCGTGAGCTGTGCTTGGAGTCTCGACAGAGGGACGCCGCCGCGCTTGCCGCCAGGATCGCAGTGGCCCCGGGGATTCCTTTTATGGCTGCGCAGCCGCCGGCCGTCACCAAGGTGCCCACGGAACTTGCGGCCGGCGAGTGGCAGAAGATGGTGCTGCGGTATAACCGCCAGCAGATCGGGGGCCGCGATCGGGTTTTCCCCGATAATGACCTCATCGGGGCGGAGAGCATCGTGGCCAAGGCGCTCCACGAGCACGAGGTGACCAAGCAGTACTCCGCGATCCCCATTGGCGCCATACTTCAGGCTCGACGCTTCGCGGCCAGTGGCGAGCTTAACCCCTTGGCGAAGCGTCGGACCGAGACCAGGGTTAGGGTCACAGCGGATGGTGACTTTCAGACCGAGCACGCCGATGACTGCTGGGACCCTCGGTCTATGCTGTCGATCATGGACGGCCTGAACAGCATCCAGAGCTTGTGGCTCTTGATTCAGATCGGCGACGAGGTGGACATCCTGAGCTTCTTCGACACTTTGCTTAAGAAGTTGAGGAGTGTCCCGAACCGCCTCAACCAGTTCAAGATCTACTACGAGACGGTGGCATGGAGGCTGGCACAGGCTCTGCGAGCCAACACTCCGTTCCAGCAGGCGGTGCGGGACGTGCTCGGGGACACAATCCTGTGGCAGGAGACCCTGGCCAAGGAAGTTGCCACGCCCACGGCGTCCGAGAAGCCCAAGAAGCCCGAGACGCCACCGAAGCGCCGCACCAAGGAGACCCCCGACTCACAGGCTCCAGCCAAGAAGGGCGACACAGGCTGGGGGCAGCAGCCGCGCAAGCGCTCTAGCGGTTGGGACGAGCAGCCACAGCAGCAGCAACGCCAGCAGACAGGAGGTTGGTACCCCAACAAGTCGTGGCGGCCGGACCCACACCAAGGGTCCCACAAGATGAGAAATCGTGGGGACCCCGCCCCAGCACTGGGGGGCGGGGGGACCCACTGGAGATGGGCATCCAGTGCCTGGGAGTGCCGCCGCGCCTTCGTCCGCACCGGAGCGTGCGGCTCCGAAGGTCAAGGCCATGCCACGCAAGCCGGCGCAGGCCGCTTCTACCTGCGCTGCCGGCTCTCAGCCGAACCCCGGGGTGATCTTGCTGTCCTTCTTCGATGGCATCGGTACCTCTGCTTTGGCTGCCCAGGATCACGCCCGGATCGTTCACATGATGGCTTGGGAAGTGGACCCTGCCGCCACAGCTGTTTGCAGTGCACATTTCCAGCACGTTGTGGAGCACAGGGGCGACTTTCAACAGGACAGCGCAACAGCAGTCGCTGCCGAGATTCAACGTTTGGATCCTCAGGCCTACCACACGTTGCTGGTGACGGCCGGGCCACCTTGCCCCGACTTTAGTCGGGTCCACGATGGCCCTGGGCGCTCGGGGGAAACTGGACAGCTTTTCAAGCAGTTCTGTGATTTTCTCGATGAGCTGGAGGCTTTATTGATTGGCCGCACTCTTGCTCTACTTGTGGAGAACGTGATCATGGCCTGCTATGGGGATATCAACTACTTCTCGCAGCGCTTACGCTGCGAGCCAATCATCGCCGACTCCATTGACCTCGGCGTGGTGCACAGGCCACGTCTTTGGTGGATGCGCGTTGATTGGTCGAAGTGCACCGACCACCGTTGGGGCCGCCAAGGCCGCATGTACCAGCTGCACCTCCCCGGGCCCAAGCTCTCTGCTTCTACGTTCGAGCTCCGGGGCTATGAGCTCAGCAAGGAGCTTGCTTCCGGCGTGAAGGCCTGGCCTTGCTTCACGACACCAGCCCCTACAGAGGAAGGCCGTCCGGCCCCGAAATCAGCCAAATCTCGCATCGACAGTGGCACCCGCCAACGATGGATCGAAGCCCACAGGTCCTTTGCTCCTTGGCATTTTCAGGAGTTTGCCATGGTGAAGAGTCCCAGCGGCGCTTTGGAGACGGTGCCCATCCACCTCAAGGAGCAGGCACACTTGCTGCCTCCCGATTACACCTCGGCGGCTCCCACTCTTCGTGATCAGCATCGATTGGTGGGAAATAGCTGGCACCGCGGAGTTGCCTCCTTCCTTTTGAAGATTGTCCTCCAGCTTGGCGCTCACCCGATAGCACAGGTAGCTCCCGAAGGAGAGCTGATCAGCGCCAGTCGGACAAAAGATTTTCAGTGCATTCTCCGGGCAGCGCGGGAGCAGCCTTTGCCCATGACACGCATGCGGGCGCCAGTGGGAGTAGAGATGCACCCTCCTAAGGACATGTGGGAGCATTGGATCGGCAGTGCTTCTGTTGTACCTGCTGCCCTTCTTCCCCCTTCTGTGGAGCCTGCCATTGAAATGACATTGCAACGCGCTGCTCAGGTGGGCCCACATCTTCAAGATCACCGCGAGGCCGTGTTGGCCGGGCTCCGTGACTTAGTGGCCGAACTGCGAGCAGAAACAGATGCTTGGTACAGCGCTGTGCCGGCACACGTCAGGTCAGCTCTTCACCCTCCAGGCAAGCCGCGGTTTCAGGTGCTGGCCTTTGTTCGGCTGCTCCAGGACTGTGGCTATGAGCACGCTCCTGAGATTGCTGAGTCTCTGGCGGTGGGGCTTCCCCTGCTTGGGAAGATGCCTCTTTCTCCAGGGTGGCGGCCTCGCACTGATGACACATACAGGTTTCCGGTCAGCCTGCCGGCGTTCGCCAAAGTGAACCGCGAATACATTGAGCACTGCCTCAAAAAGCCGCGTGTGGACCCCGAGTGGCGCGCTTTGTTGGCTGAGGTGTCTCAGGAGGTCAGCGCCGGACGCATGGAAGGTCCGTTTGAGGGCCCCCCCGATTGGCCTCGGAAGACGGTGGATGCTGCCTCCGTGGGTTTGTCCAAGCAGCCTCTTCCTGCAGGGCCAGTTTTCGCTGCTCGCGCCTTTAGTGTGTGCCAGACAGGTGCTGACGGAGCTCGGAAAGTCCGTAGGTGTGAGGACTATCGCAGGTCGCACCACAACAGCACCATAGAAGCTCACGATCGTCCCGAGCATGATGACATCGAAGTGTACATTCAGGTGCTGAGACTGGCGAAGAAGCTGGGTTTGCAGCCCGAGATTTGGTGCCACGACCTGGCTGACGCATACAGGGCTTATCCAATCCGTGACCCCGCTGAGGCGTACATGCTGTTGCACACATGGTCAGGACCTACCTTATGGCGGCACCGAGTGCTGCCTTTTGGTAGCTCGGCCTCTGTTTGGCATTTCGGGAGGTTGACGGATGCCATGTGTTGGTTGGTGCGCACACTTTTGCTGACATGCATCTTGCACTACGTGGATGACCTGGGAGGAATACAGGACTCCAGTGACGCAGCCTCTGCATTTAGTGCCTTTTCAGAGTTTTGCGACATTTTGGGTTATCGCCTTAAGAAGTCTAAAGCTCAACCCCCCAGTACCGTTCAGAAGCTGCTCGGGGTGATACTGGAGATTACTGCTGAAGGGATTCGCGTGCGAGCCGATCCCAAACGCATTGAGAAGCTTTCGGCACAGATCCAGCAGGTTTTGCGAGATGATGTCCTGGAGCCAGTGGTGGCAGCCAAGCTTGTCGGTAAGCTTGGTTTCATCCAGAGCACAGCTTTCGGCCGAGCCGGCAGCGCTGCCCTCAGACCGATCCACGCACGGGCGAACTCTACGCGCCCAGGTTCTGTTGAGCTGAACGTTGGTCTCCGAGGAGCATTGAGAGCGACTTTGCAGCTCCTCCGCGAGCTCACACTAGGTTCGTCCCTTTTGTGCAGCCTCGTGTGGAGGCCGTTGTGTACACTGACGCGTTCTTCGAGTTAGGCGAACGCATGTGGAAAGCCGGCGACCCCGACATCCCCACAAACGTTTCCTTTAACCGCTGCTGCAGTTGCCGCAACGGTTGGGGGTTCGTGGTCAGGATCGGGACCTTTGTGACATACGGCCACGGCTCTGTCTCCAGTGGCTTGTTGCAGCGGTTTTGCAGCCGCCGTGCTTTTATTTATTTTCTCGAGATCTACGCTCAGGTCATCGCCTTTTGCGCACACGTGGATGCGCTTCCTGCCTTTTGGATTGCTTACGTAGACAATCAGCCAGGCATGGTGGCTCTGCAGAAAGGTTTCGGTCGAGACGAACAGATCAATGTCCTCTTGACTGGTTTTTGGACTTTGGCCACCCAGGCGCGCTGGGTGCCCGAGTTTCGTTGGGTCCCATCAGCTCTGAACATTTCAGATCCTATCTCCAGAGCGGACTACACTGTCGTGCAGCCGTCGTGGCGGAGGTTAGCCAGTGACGGCCGGGCCCTGGAAGCTATTCTGCTGCAGCTGGATCAGCATAACACCTCTCAGTTCCCAGTACTAGTGCGAGCTTTGGATTGGCGCTGGGATCCTCCGTTTGGTGGGGTATAGGCGCCGTCGGATGGGAGCAGGCAGGCGCCTATGTCCGACCCACCTCGGCACGACACTGCGGATCTCAGACTCTGGAGTCGCCAACGACAGGGAGGAAAAGAATGCGTGGCTGCATGCTTTATCCGATCGCTGTCGAGTGTATCGAACGAAACATGTCGTGATGCACCGAAGGTGCTAAGGGACATGCTGTGAGTTAACTCGGCTTGTGTCCCCGCAGCTCGGGACCAAGTCGTGGAGGATTCGAAATCCCCACCCTCTCCACCCTATCATGATTTTCCTCTCTTCTTTGAGGGTCGTTTTCCTGGTGTACGTGCGGGTGCGGTGGGAGCAGGCAGGCGCCTATGTCCGACCCACCTCGGCACGACACTGCGGATCTCAGACTCTGGAGTCGCCAACGACAGGGAGGAAAAGAATGCGTGGCTGCATGCTTTATCCGATCGCTGTCGAGTGTATCGAACGAAACATGTCGTGGTTGTGGTTGTGGTTGTTGTCACTGTTGTGGTTGTCGTTGTCGTCGGCAAAGAAAGACCGCAGTGTAATCACCGCATAGGCTAGTTAAGCCGTCCTTGCCGGTGGCGTTTAGCTTCTTTTTCACTTGTGGGATTGACCGTTCTTGTCCAGGCAGACGGGTTTCAAAAGTTGTCAAATGCTTGTATTCGCAGGATTTCAAGCTTATGCTGGACGTTTTCGGCTGTTGGATGTAAGCCGCTGCAGGTCTAAAATCCGAGAAGCTTCCATCTAAGCGTGAATGTATCGAAGCGGGACTCCATGACAATGTTAAATGCTGCAGAGGCTTGCGGGGTTTCGGCTTCCGTGCCTATAGATGAACTGTCAATCATTGCACGTCAGTGATGAAGGTTCAGAGGGTCTAGGAAAACACGGCAGACATGGTGATGGAAACACAGCTTTGGGATATGTTTGCGTACGTGCGGCGGTGGATGGTGCAGGTCGCCAACAAAGGTTCCTCCCAAGACACAAATCCAAACTACCGGCAAGGCATGGCTAAACTAAACTGTGCAACACGGCCACATACGGCCACCACAGTCAGGATTGTCATATCTCGTCTCGTTGGAATGGCTCCTTTAGCAGCGTGTACTCCTCCTGGCGATCAGTGGCATATCCTCCGCCTCCGAGCTTTGCTGTCGTGAGGATGCCGCTGCCCGCTGCCAGGAGCAGAGCTCACTGGTAGATCGGCAACACGGCTCTTCAAGTTTGGGGTTCGGTTGACTGCGCCCCGTGGTGATCGTAACAGTCATAGCAGGACTCTTACGGTATATCTCATAGGTGCATTGCCGGCACCCGCGAGGGTTCGCATGAAGACTGCCATGCTGCTGTAGTCGTTTGCGGTCAGTTGTTTAAACTTCCTTAAGCTTCTTGGAGGCTCACTTTGAGTTCCAGAGTGTTATGTCATGTTCCTTAGTCCTAGATCCTTCCACCGGTCTGTAGCTTTGCAGGTTGCAGCGGGGCAAGCGATTGGCCACGAGTATGAAGCTATCTTTGTCCGGTGCTTTTTAAAGGGTGCAAAAGGTCCTTGGGCTACAAGCCACGGAAGCGATGCTTTTTTTGGTGTGGGATGGTCTGGATTCCAATCGAGCACACTGCTCTTGACCTGGACGTGTCTGGCGGCAAGCGATCAAAGTGGAATCAACAAAAGTTCGAGTCACGGAATCCAATTCCCTCTCGCTTCTGTCTTGACAACGCTCTTCTTCTTGGCGTCTTGATTCTGATATTCGCTCAGCTCAAGACCTATGTTTGGCATGGTACGGATCCGGCTCGGGTTGGCTTGACAAAAGTGCACAATCCTTTAGACATCAGGCCTGTTTATTTCTCGGTTTCTGTCCGACGATCGTCGAGCGTGAGTGCAGCCGACAACTTGCGAAACTGCTCAACTTGTTCAGCTTCCGCAGCCTCGCAGAAGAAGCTGTAACTTTCAATTCCAAGACGGCTCCAGCATTCTCCCAGGCAATGTCTGGTTCTCACTTCCAACTTGGAAGAATCCGCAGATAATGTTTGCAGTGCGCAATGCAGGCCCGTGGTGCATTCGTAGCATCCTCAGAAGCATGGCCCTTGAGCTCCAGACAGGAGTTTCATCAATGCGACGCTGGACACATGCGCTGATTACGGAGCCATCACGGAGAGCCTGAAGGCGTGACCTTCCGCAGCTGCGGTTCCTGGTGTTGACGCTGACTCATGCAGGTGTTCCAAGCTTATCAAGATGCTCTTGCCTGTGGTGTCTCGAAAAGCATCAGATTCTGTCCTGTTGCAGCGTTCGCATATGTTCGCATCGTACTTGCATGACTACGGGTAAACAGGGTTTTGGTACCTTAGCCATTAGATCTCTGATGCAAACCTCGGGTTGGATTTAGAGTCTACGTTTGTCAACTGTTGAAGTAACCTTTCTATTTTGTAGTGGGCAGATGTGGCCAGCAAAACTTTGTAGCCTTTGGATAGAGCGGCTGTTTTGACGAATCTGTGTCAGCAGCACGAGAACTCCCTGAAACAGCCTGGCGGTGACAAGGCCCAGATGCTGAAGCGGAGTTCTTCTCCAGATCCTACAGCTCCATTACGGTCTTCCTCTCTGCCTCGCAAAGTATAGCAGGCCAGTCCATCGAAACCTCAGGTTAGAATCATGACCTAAGTGATTCTTTATTGTTGTGCATGTCCAGGTATCGCACAGTTCCCGAGAGAGTTTCAGCAGGTCTACACGTGTTCGATATGCTTGCACCGTGCCTGGCACAGCACGTCTGCCATTGTAGACGGAGCTATCGAAAGACTTCCCGTGGCTCCAAATGCGAAATGTTCATTCGGAGCAGTTCGAAGTACAAAGTCTCGAAACCTCAGGAAACCTCACCAACGCTCACGCAAGAGAGAAGCCTTCTGCAACATTCCTCTCACTCATTGTCACTCGATTGAAAGTGGGGGGCGAGGAGGGAGGGGTTCAATGATCCAGATTCCATCGCATTCAACGGATTCGGGATTTGAGGGTGCATGTCATCACACAGCACGTGGTTTATTGACACAGAGGCAAAGCAGCTTCGGCTGCGCGCAGCCGGTGCTGAACTATCTGGACTCCATACGTATCGTATTCGAGAGGATACAGGCTACTACCACCGATGCTACGACGGCTCACTAGTGCCGAAACATGGCCCACTTCCAGTTTTGCATTTCGGTTCCAGCGCGCCATCGAGTAAGGGCAGACCTTCCACACCAGCTCAAGATGGGAGACGAGCACTACTGTGTTGGACTGTCTTCTTTCAAGTCACGTTGTCATAGACGAAGTGATGTATGGTGAATGCAAACCTCACAGAAACATCAGTCTCTAAAGTATCGTATGTACCTAACTCAGTTCACGGTATTTTCACTGATCAATCTCTGTTGAGGAACTGTGTGCATTGAGTTTTAGCTTGCATTTTCATTACAGTGTTTCTGATTCGGTTGACTTGGCATGGCTGCACGACTTGCCTCTCTGGGCGCTCGTGCTTCCCGTTCTTTTTGCTTAAATCGCGATTCGATCCCGGTTGGGTGCCCCCGGGTCAAGGTCTCCCCCCGCATTCTCTGATCTCTGCCTGTCTGCCTGCTGGGCACGGGGTGTCTTATGTTTCTGCGACAGGCACCTCTTAGCTCCGAGCCGTCCCTTCCCGTCTGCTGTCTATACGGATTCAGAATCTTAGCCTCGAGCCGAGACGAGTGCCCACAAGGATCCAAGCACTTTGCATGTGCTTTCCTGGAATTGCTCACGGCCAAAGTAACCAGTGAAAGGACACAAGTCGCGCTAGTAGGAAAGCCAGTTCAATATCCCAAAAACATTCAACGTGCGGACGCCCATGTCTGAGGGGTCCTTGTATACACTATGTATGCATGCTCTTATATAGTTTATATATGTACTCCCAAATGCCCGACAACGCTGGTTCCGTGATTCCTCGACAATGACACAGTGCAAATCTGTAGTATTGAGGCCCCAAACACTGAAAGCTTAACCTAGACCGTAAATCCTTGAAACATGTAGCCCTTATAACAAAGTTCTTACGAAACTCGGCGACACGTACAGGATTAAGCCGTGCAAACGTCATAATTTGGGCCGAAGCTTCTGCCGGCGAGCCGGCAAGTAAACACCACTCAGCACGACATATACAAGTGACGAACCACGAGCCGACGGTCGACTAGGCGTGCAGAATTGGATCATCGTCTGCAGAGGATGTTGATTACGGTTCGACTTTCGACTAGCTCTGCTACCTAGCTTTCAAGCCCAAAGTTCTAGACTGAGTCAAGCGCCGCCTGAACTCTTAAAACAGTCCTAAAACCCAGATTTGGAGTCAATGCGAGAGGGGAGACCAGGGGAACTACCTGCTTGAAGTTCGCCCTGATTGCCCAACAGTGTCTCAGGCATGTACAATAGGAGCTTGACGCATTTTGAAGGGCGGCAGTGCAGATACACAGACCATACTAGTGGGATCCCTATGCCAACTATTATCTGCGGAGAGGCACATGTAAATCGTCATCCCTGACAACCAGGCAATCTGAAACGCGAAGCTTGAATCCTAAACACCAAACCGTCAATCCGAAACCGAATCATTCCGAATCCATCCGTCCATGCATCCATGCATGCAGTATTTATCCATGCATCCATCCATCCAGCCATGCATCCATCTAGCTAGACAGCACTGGTCGCAGCACCATGTGCTTGACCACCTGCCGTTTTTGAGAGATGGTTGCACTGCACCTTGTTCTACAAGATAGGCCTTTGTCCGTCTTGTCAAACATCCCACCTTGGGGATATAAGGTTTCCTGCTTTCTGAGTTCTCTACAGCATCTGTGCTGCGAAATTGACCGGAAGAAGTTGTTGCTGGCGATCGGACATGGGCTTGATTCAACATCTTGGAACACATTTGTTCGATCCGAAGTTCATGGCGAAAGCAAAAAACTCCTGCCAGGTGCCATCGTCATCGGCACAACATTGGCATGCGTCAGTGTTGCAGGGGCCTTGGCATTTGCAAGATCTTGTGCGTGACTGGCCCTCTCTGCTGGGAGGCCTTCCTGACGATACGCAGTCTAAGCCTGGGCGGGCTACCGCAACGTTTGCAAGCTCAGCCCTGCTCAGACACTGCAAACGCCGTTTACTTGATCCACCCTGCCAATTCTCATGCCTTCTGTACCGTACACGGCATGGAGTGGCTTGCCAAGGCATGTGCTACGTGAGGGTCACGTCTGAAGAGCATGTGCCGCTGACCAGTTACTTAGACGGGTTTGACAGCGACGCATGATGGGCTGTCTTTCCGACCGTGCTTGCAAAGCCCAGTGCGCAAGCCCGGTGGGCAAGCGGGTCGTGGAGAACACTCAGTGCTGCTTGATGTGTCTCATGTTGTTTGAGTCAAGACTCAAGACTGGCTAGGACCGCCTCGGTTGAATATCCACAGTCGATATGATGCTTTCTCGATGGTAAGCGCTTTTCTGTGGTCCGGTGCTGTTGTCAAGCCGAAGTGTGAACAGCATGGGCCCAAAGCTGACCCAACTTTGGTGGCCGGCAAAGCCGAAAGAGACCACCGACAGTTCGGCTTTTTTCATCGAAAGTTGAGCGAGGAGGGCCATCGTGACGACGTCTAGCTGCGTTTGCTTATTTCAGACCTGCCGCAAAGGTACAAGCCCGCAAATTTGCGTGCAACGACATTCGAGAAGACAACGGACGCCTATATGCGGGACCCTCGTTGGAAGAGATGGAGGGAGTGATAGAGAGACAAACATGCTAGCGGTGTCTATGTCTAGTTACTTTTGGATTGCTACAGTGTTAGTGCTTCCGTTCGGTGCGAGCCTGGGTAAAGTCGAGATGGCGTTAGTCCGATAAAGTCGCCTCAGTGGGAGGGACGGGCGCAGGGTGCGGCTAAAGACGTGCACATTCTTGTCTGCTGAGTTTCATCTGAGCACATCGCATGAATGCGGTGGATGGGGCGAGCACCACGCAATGCAAAAGCAAAATCAACCTCGAACTATTTCGGCGGAAGCACTGCGCCGTCCGGCTTGGTGGATCGTGAGTTAGAATATGTGGCCTTCCTGCCAGGGGGCAAAGCCCTGAAATATTCCTGCGCATGCCGCACCGGCTGCATTGGGGAGAAAGGGCATTTTAACGAGACAGGCCTTAATTAACGGGTGAAGTGGAAAGGTAGAAGAGCACTATATAGTGCATACGGCAACTCATCAAGTGCATCAGTCCTAGAGATGCCACATGTCACGAGCTTTCATTCTCAACGACATGCCGCTCATGCCTTCCGTTTCCTTCCAAAAGCCACCAAGAGGCAAGTTCGGAGGCTTGCACATTCCGCGACACTCCCACTCAACACCTGACCCGACAGGATGTTCAGGAAACGACAGACAGCAAAGGTCGTCTCAAGTTCTGCGAGCCGAACTCGTCGGCGAAACAAACTGAAATCAACCACCCGAAGCAGCTGCAGAAGAGGTGGCCTTGAGAAAGGGCTTTTGCAGCAAGTGTTTGAGGCTTCAACTTTTTTCTTCTCTGCTACACGCCACGATGACTGCCGGCAGAGTAGAAAGTAGGAAGGCTTTTATGTCAGACGCGTTTTGCTCAGACGGCCCGGCTTTTTTCGGAGAAGCCTGGATTGCCTTTTTCCGATAAAGAGAACCGAACCAACACAGCGTCAACTTTGGTTCATCTGAAGGAGTGCATTGGCATGGCTTGTGCGGTTGGGCGATGAAAGCAGGCTGGTCTGCCCGCCAACATCAAGCCACCCCGCAGAGGCGACAAAATCTCGTGGTCAGAGCCGCGAGCAGATGTGTGTCACCGATGCGGCGTCGGTCTATGAGGCCCTGGAGGAGACAGCCAGAGCACCAGCATCGACACATGGAAGACGATCGGAGTAGTACACCTCTTCGCGAAATGGTCAAGGGAGCAAAGGCTTGTGTGAAGTGGGTCGCTGTGATGAACGACAGCGCAGATAAAGAGGTGCGTAGTGTGATAGGACCTCGAAGATGGTGAGCCGAGTTGAAGCTACTTGCAACGGCCGTGCACAAGCTCTTGCGAAAGAGCATTGCCGAGAAGGCCCGAATCGTACAGGGAAAGGAGCGACTTCGAGCCGGCCGTTCTAGGGTGTGGCTCGATCGAGGCTCGGCATAGCAGATCCCATCCCGTTCATGGGGGGTCTTCCCCGGTCAACCCGCACGGCATCCTCTACCGGGCTGATCCAGCCTGGATCCTCGCACCCTCGAGAACAAACTATCAGACTATAAGTAATACAGGGAGACCTCACGGTGGTTAGGATGACATCACTGCCCCAGCATCCAAAAAATTGTATACTCCAAAGATCGATGATGAGCACTGCAGCTCTTGCTGAAGCTCCGATTCCCCACTTGCTGAATCCCATTCCGTACAAAGAATTGGTCGGGCATCGAAAATCCGCTCGATCGTGGGGCCTGCTGCAGGGAGGGCCAGGGTGCGGGAAGAAGCCGGCCACGACTCCTGTGTAGGACCGGAGGTCGCGGGAGCCCACCACGGGCTTTCTCAAGAACTTCTCGGCATCTTCGAGAAGTGCTTTGATCTTGGCCGGCAGGCTTAGCACCGCCTCTTGGTCGTGCAGGCGGAGATCCTTGCCCAGACCCACTATGTCCTTGCCTCTACTCTCCTTCGACGGCTTCATCGGAATTTCTGCGACCGCTGTCCCCTCTGAATTGGCCATCGAAGCCACAACGACTCGCTGGCTGGCACGGGTTCGCTCCGAGCTGGAAGCCTTACTTCGGCCGCCCACACATGCGAGCCAGCCCATGACAGTGGGCCAGAACGTTTCATGTTGAACACTGCTCGAGGCGGGAAGCTGCACAGATGCGAAGCCCCAAAATACTCTTCAGCCGACTTCGTGGCGAGCGTTCTGTTTGTGGCCATTCGCCGGCGGTGAGACCCAATTTAGCTGGGTTACACCAGATCACCCCGGGGAAGTGCAAACACTGCTTTCCCGAAGAAAGTCCGGCAACAAAGGAGTCGTCGAGTTCTTCCTCTTCCTCGAGTTCAGCCTCGGATTCTAGCAGCAGCTCTAACAATTTCACCCAGGAACAACCGTGCTGCAGCAGGTGGGATGATCGCGCGTTGTTGGTCGGGGGTCAAGCGGGTGTATCTGCCCGCTTGAGTTTTCTGCGGCGAAGCCTCAGACTAGCAAGCGGAGCGACCTTTACGACCAGCGATATGGCAGGCCTTGCAGTTTTGTGATGGTGGTTGTCTGGGGAGCGGTTGTGATTGTCAGGCCGAGCAACGCCAAGCACTTCCTTCAAACTACCTTCGGCCGATCGGTTCGAAAAATGCCGGCATGAAGCAGAGAGTAGCTACGCTTCCAGTGAACTTCCCGACCAGCGCTTAACTAAGCAACAAGCCCCAAGCCCGGCAACGGCACGACAGTTTCACAAGTTCGCTTGCGCAAGCAAGGTACGATGTCCTCTTCTTTGCTTTCCAACAGGATGCGAAATTCTGGTCTGAATGGCGCGGGTCCCTGGCTTCGCGTGGCGACAGGGTATGCCGGTCGTTCGGCATGGCGTTCGACGTGTTCTCTGCTTCTGTGCGTTGCTTGGTCTATTGTGACCCGTAGCAAGGAAGGTGGTGGATTGTGCCGCCTCGGTTCCGGACAAGAAGACAGACAGGATCGGTTCGGCTGCTGAGGCCTTCCAAGGGATGTGGCAGGATTTTGGGTGAAGTGATTGTCGGTGAGTGTGAGGATCGGGCACCAATCCGAGTCGTCATGGATCTGCCTAGCATGAGTGAGCCACGCACTCGAGGGCTCGACGCATGGCCAAGCGAAGCCTGAAAAGAGACGGTACGCCGCGCACCAAGGCTTCCTCGGTCGTACCCGCCGCCGCTCATCGGCCGCGAGAAGTGGGGGCCCTCCAGTGCCAGGGCTGGCAGGGCTGCTAGCGCTCAATGCATCCTGTGAGTTTCAGGCCGAGATCTGTACCAGGCCGATGCTCCTTTGGTTCCCTTTGAAGAATCCCTCATGTTGCATGGCACTCTGCAACATCTCGTGTGTTCATCGAGCCTCGGCGGATATACTATTGTAAAACAGCCCTCCTTGCGGGGAGTGTGGGGAGGGTTGCGGATTGCAGGGCTCTCATCCTTGGTCCTTGCTGCTTGTCTGGCTGATAAGATGCTCGAGCAACCGTCGACTGTGATGGCCTGCAGAACCCGAGTCCTTTGATGTCCTTTGCATTGACATGTGGAGGCCTTCCATCCGGATACTCGGCCTCGGACAAAGCACTTTCCTGCATGACATGACATGATTGCGTGATTCTTCCTAGGCCCTAGGCTTCTATCTCCGATGCCATGCCACACAAGGTGCCCCTTGAAGCCTTCACCATAGAGGCGGGAAAGAGTGAAAGAAGGTGTGTGGTGACCACATCGACCGACGGTGCGTTGAGAGGATGGTCAGCTGCTCTTGGAGCGACAGCGTGTGTCGCCTGGGTCGCAAGCAGTCGTGAGCAGTCGCGGCAGTCGCCTTTGCAAGCCCGTCTTCAAGTCTTCCTTCTTTCTCGCTTTCTAGCCGGCTCTTTAGCACGCTCTGGCCCCTTTAGCCGAGAGGTTCAACGAGGGCCACATCGATCCTCGCTACCAGTGGCTCCAGGAGGGGACAACATGGACCAACCCTTCATATGATTCGTATCGACACTATGTTGTGAGTATTCATCATGGTGTGGCCTGGAAGTGGTATGAAGCCCAGCAAGCTCAGGCACTCGACAGCGGTGGTTGCTTTCCGCATGTCCGTCAGATCCAGCCAGATCCAGCCGGGCTGACTCGCCAAGTACAACTAGGGAGCCAGGAAGCAGCACAGTTCTACTTGTGTGCTGTCAGTGTGGTCCTACAGCGCTTCCGCATTGCCTCGGTTTTGGCACGAGACACGGCACGAGCATTCGGTCGTCGGTTTGCAAACAAGGTTTACCTCTCTGCTCGGTAGCGAAACGAAAGGTTCGGACGAAAGGTTCGGCATGTCTGGCCTTCCAACCTCTTTGCTTCTGCAAAGTGACCCTCTCTTCAATCCGTATGAATGGGTACAGATGACCTTCTTATCCCACAGTCCACATCTTGCCATTTACTGCGCTTACTGCCGATGCAGGGGCTGCTAAGCATGCTGCACTTCTTCCATCTCAGCGACCCTCCGCAATTCCCCCGGGTATCTTCCTCACCCCACCATCCTTAATTGCGGGATTGGGAACTGGCAAAGTCAGTTCGCAAGACAGACGCCTCACTGATCTATGGGAAACGAAGACTGCTAGCTTCATCATGTTAGTGCAATGCGTCTAATGTATTGCGGGTGAGGCACGGCTTGAAACATCCCTAGAATATTCAAAGCAACAGTTAAACAGTTTGCCAGGACATCATTTCCAGCTACAGGCAGTCGAAGGCCGATCATGGACTTGCGTTGCCTTGGATCTGGATAGATCGGATAGAGTGTAGCGCGGTGGCGGGTGTTGGCGCCCCGGCTTTTCAGGAAGAGGATGACTCTGGAGGCTCAGAGCCTTCGGAGCCTTTTGGCGATCGTCGGGGAACGAAGCTGCAAGCCAGGTGCGAACACGTCAGTGGTTCCACAGCCGAAGCAAAAGGTGCCACGCCACGCTGCTGTCAAGTTCGCTTGCTTGTGACAAAGTGTTGCAGGCCACTTCGGTGCGTGGCTTCATGTCGTGGCTCAGTGGTGCCGTCGGTGTACCCGAGCAGACACAGGCCAGTAGGGCGGGATGGCCTGTGTGGCTGTCATGTCAGAAGTGGCTGGAGGGGTGCAGGTGCGGCTTTGGGGAGGCGCATGAGCTGAATCTAAGGACAACAATCCTCTATAGCTCCCTGAAGGGTGAGCGGCAAGTTGTGCGCTGGCTCTACTGGGGCCGTATGTGGCTGACGAGTCCGCATTTTGAACAAACTTGCTTCAAAAAGCAGTCGCAACTCCTATCCTCTGAGCCACACCCGAACAGACAGTTGCGAAACCAAATTCCTGTCGGTCTGCAACGCATGCACCCGCACCACTCAAGACCATTCCGGATTGCAGCTCAGAGCCGGCGCTGCACTTTCGGGTTGCAGCCAGACAAAAAGAATTTCAGCTGTTGGAGCGGAACTGGAAGACCATCCAACAGGCTTTGCCTCCGCTGACATCCTATGTAGGTCAGGCCCCCATTTGCCATCCAGTCATGGTTGCAGTCTTCGCACACCCTGCTTCTCCTCAGGTGGCGAGCAGCCTCTTGCTGGGCGGTGAGAAACTTACGTTTTGTGTGTCGCCTTGTCCTCAAGCCTTGGATCCCTGCTCGATGGCTCAACCTTGAGCCAAATGTGCCAGCGAGCATGCGACTCGTGCAAGCCCTTGGATGGCAAAGTTGGTCGTACTATGTCGTAGCCAGTCCCTTCGCCCAGGAACTCGACGGGACAAGCGATTGCCCACGAGGGATTGGTCCGCTCTGGGGCTGTTCTGCCTCGCCGTTGAATGTTGGCTTTAGCTCGGCGCGGGTAATGTAAAGAGAGAGCCGTGGTGTTCATCTGATGCAGTAGGAGATCTGCGTACCCCGCAGCATCGTTTAGCGTGCTAGCGGTATCCAGCGGTCCAGGTCAGCCCCTACAACAGTCGAAAGGTGGCATCTGGGCCGTTTCGCACGAAACTCAAACCGGACCTTCACTCGTTGATATATGAGGGCCATGAAGGGCCTAGTGATGTGGGCGGTTTCTTGATAAGTGTGAATGCCAGCAAGGTCCGCGTGAAGCGGAAGAGAAGCTGAATCATATCGAGGTGCAGAGTGCTGCCGAAGGCACCATACATGAAGCCAATCGCCCATCGCTTTCTCTCAAAGTCTCCAAAGCGACACATTTTCTGTCGGAGGCAACCCACTCGATGCCCAGTTGCAAGAGCTTCTCTCCAGGACTGTCCGGGCATGTCCGGTCGGATTGGCAGTGTTTGGTATTTGGTGATTTGGAGCGCCTGTCCTTCGTACATTTCTAGATGCTAGAGGGATGAACAGACAGATACCAGAAAAGCAGATAGATTAGATGGTAGATCGATGTTAGCAGACAGATACACCATTGGAAGAACTAGATAGGTAGGTAGATATTATACAGGCAGAAAGGTAGATTGGTTCATAGCTAGCTAGCTAGCTAGCTAGCTACGGGTAGCTAACTAGAAAGATAAATAGGTCGAGAGATAGATATAGATAGAAACATCGGCAACAAGCAATTCAGTCTACACGCCAGTGTGTTTACACGTATACACCCTCTCCAGGAAAGCTGTGCAGAGTGCAAATGCTGGAGAAAACGATACTCAAAAGACGCATTTCGGAGAAGCGGCGACCATCTTGGAAACTAAGCCGATGAGATGTTTCCTGTCAAGCATCAGGGTCTGCATGCTGAGCGGGTGGGTTTGGGGTTTGGGTTGAGGAATCTTTGGGTGTTACTGGAAACAGAACAACAGCGGCCGCCGCTACTTTCGTGCAAGTGGTGCTAGTAGTATCCTTCTTGTAGCAGTAACCGGCGCAAGTGAAATTCAACATTGCTGCCACTTACCAAAACCAGCAAGAGGGAGAGCCATGGCAGCGACGGCATGTGTGCCTAACTTACATTGAGCGAAATTGCGGAACCAGATTTGCTTAGACCCATGGCTTGAGGGGACTCCAAGCAAAATCCTGGCTACCATGGGGGTCACCTTCACCTCGCAGCACGCCGCCTGCTTGGCGGAGCTTTCTATTGCTTTTCAACCCTCCAGTTCCATTCAAGCACTCAGTCACACATTAAGCGTCACAAACCGCAATGCGCAGTGGTAAACCGAATGCCTTGGCAGTCTCTGTCAATCACAGCCCAACCCAAAACACTCCGAACAACAAGCGGGAAGGCACACAGCAAGTTACGCAGGCAACAGTTGCCGTGATGTGTTGCTTGCTTCGGAACCCTACCATAATTTCCTCCTCGCGCTTGGGTTTGACGACACATACGACACTAAATTATGTCATGTCGTGTCCCCAGCCCCAGCCCTCACACCCTCCAGCTTACCGTCGCGAAACGCTGAAGACGAAGAAGATTCTGTCGTACGAGCCAGTCAGCTTGCTCTTCTGCTATTTTCCGACTCATGGCACTCCTGCCGCCATGTCTTGCCCATCCGGGCAGAATTGAACTTTCCAAGGTTTTGGTTGATTCTGTTTTGCTTCAGCTCCTCTTGCAAATATCCCAGCTTCACAACTGATTGCGACGAGTGGGGGAATCGGTAGAGCTTGAAACGAGGACGATCGCGACGACAGATGGCAGAGACGCCATAGATGTCCGAACGCAGACTTCCTGAAGATAGCAATGGTGACCATGTGATCCGTGTAGGTCTCGAGTTCGTAGCGTCGTAGCGAGAGGGGCTTCGACCGGCCAGATCTTAGACTGCCTTCTGTGCCACAATGTGCCACATGCCACACAAGCTGGATCTCCGGGATCGTCGCGGCTTTGCCAATCCACAAAGGATGGATGGCCCAGTGACCACGGCCACGCATAGAAAGTATTGGTGCTCAAGTGCTTTACAACATGCGTGCCACAAGTGCCACAAGTGCCATGGACTGCAGTCTTGCTGTTTGTCGCCGGCCACGCAGCCACGGGCCAGCCCAGTTTTGGTCCCATCCGCAGGCCTGCGGTCAAGGCGCAATGTCGTTTGACTGACTTGTTTGTGCATCCCCTTTTAGTTTCGCAGGGCATGCAAGTTGAGTACATGCTATGCGGTTAACGGGCTGTAAGCAAACATGCTTCATACAGACTGGAAGTGAACGTCCTTGCGTCTGCCAATCCGACATCATCAGATCCTGAGAATGCATGTTCGGCGGATGGGAAATCGCTTGCCCGATATGTTTCTCCCAAGCCCTGCCAAGAAGGAATGGTTCAGCAGCCTGCAGGTACAGGCCTAGTCTGAATCTCAGCTCTCGGCTCTCGTGACCATGGATCGGGCGCAAAGCCCTGGCAATGTGTTGCAGGTAGCCGCGGCGATGAGCGATGGGTACAAGGTGCCCAATCCAAGAGCTTCCGGACGGGAGATCTTGATGGGCAGCATGGCATCGCAACGCGAGGCAGTGGCCGTGCCGGGCACTGGAGGCATGCTGCGCTGCTGTTTGCTTCTGCTGTCAGCGCCTGCTACAGGAGGGACTACGGTCTGTATCACATAGCATGCAGCACTGCAATTGCCTTTCACAGTCATAGTACCCTCATCACCCTCATCATACTGAGGTACTCATACGCACGCCCACCACCATCATCATCCAGACCATCAGCAGCATCGTCACTACTGCGGCCATGCTAATAACCCCCCCCCCCCCGACAGATGGACACCCAAAGCGCTCCAGGAGATATACCATCTAAAACCCGAGTCCCACATGCGAAATCTGCATTCGCGCGTTCAGTCTTGCATCTCCCCATGTCGGTCCACATGTCACCTCTTTAGCTTCAGCGGTTTCTGAATCGCGTCTGTGGGACTGCAGGCGCTGGCGGGCGCGGTGTGGACGTCATAACTGATCACGAAGGTGAAGTTGTGGGTATCGCCGTGAGTCAGGCACAGTGCAGCTCCAGCTCGCATGCGTGATGCAGCTGGAATCGCGGAAACAGGTGGCTCAGGTATACACCATGGTGGATCGAATCATAAGCAGCCAGAGGCTGGAAGAGAACGGAAATTTAATCACAACACTGACTTATCCATTGTCTGTCCTGTGTCCTTGAGGATACTTGCGCTGCCGCTGTCAGATCGATACTCTTTGGCAGGGAAGGCGGACTTCGCAAAGAGCCATGAGCGGTATGAGCGGTCAGACCTGCCCATAATCATGTAGCCCGAGACGGCACTGTTAAGCATCCATGACTGCGGAAACCTGCGCTACCTTCCGAATCGCATGCGAAAATGGTTTACGGCGATCATGACAACTGAGGACTGTTCACTAACATGCGCACCGCATGGCATAGCGCATCAATGCAGGTCACTCGCACCGTGGTTTGCAAGCCATAAACAAAACTACACAGATGAAAGCACTGCGGCTGCGAACTGTGGCACAGTCCACACCACACGAATCGAGAGAGCAAGCAAATTTCGACCGTCATGAGTGTGCAGTAGCACAGGTGGCTGCTGTGCCTGATGAGCATGGACGTCTGATTGAGCGCCTGGCTTCAGCCGTCGCTACCTCCTTCAGCGAGGCACCGCACCTGCTACCTGACAGTGCTCGAGAGAGCAGCACATTGGAGAGAGGCCGGAGCCCTGAACGCCTTGTATCTTATGGACATTTGCAAGGCGCATGCGCAGCCCGCAGTCGCTGGTCACGCTGAGTCACGCTAGTAAACTTCCTGCTCGACGAGTTTCAGGACTTGGTGCCTGGCTTCAAGGCCAAGATTCCAGACGGCCGTCTGGAGAAAGCAGCAGAGCTGTCTCCCCACAGCCGTGCAAAGGCGCAAGACGTAGATCGTGCTGGACGTCGCTTAGCGGAGATCTGCATCTCAGGACTTCGTCTTACAGGGTCAGAAACCTCCAGAGCCTGTTGCTCAGATCCCGTTCTGCAGAGCAGAAGCTTCAGCATGTATCGACGAAGAAATGCCTGCATCCGACGGTGCTTGTGGTTGGCCAGCTTAGGTGGGCACGAGCTGAACAGGACAAGGGCACAGTCATTCTGCTGCCAGTGCTGGTCTCTGCATCAAGACTGGAAGGTGTATGAAACTGTTATGAAACGAATACGTATCTACCTGATGCCAAGGAAGAAGAGACAGACTTGCTGACGGAGACTGGTCGAGCAGTAGGTATGCTGGCCAGTTTGTCTTGTCAAGCAGTACAGGCTCAGTACAGGGCTCTCTTCCCAGACTGAGCCAGGTGATGCAACCAAGTTCGTTGGTGGTGCTGCATTTGGAGGCCAAGTCGGCGCAAAAGAAGGTGAATGTTGCACTGCCGATAGCAGAGATGTTCATGCAGGTGTGGGCCTTGTCACTGACACGCTGGGTATCACGAAAAATGCGGAGGTAGCAGAAGTGTCAGCAAAAATGCTGGTGGTTTTGGGAGTCGCTCAGGACAAGCTCGCTTCGACGGCTGAGGAGAAGCGCCTTCTCCCTCGCTCTCTCTCTGTCTCTGTCTCTGTCTCTGTCTCTGTCTCTGTCTCTCTCTCTCTCTCTCTCTCTCTCTCTGCTGCGGGCCAGGATGCAGTGGACTTGGTCGGCTCAGGAGTTAGCAGTGTGGTGGGGGCTGTCGACCAGGTGCCGATGCCGAGTCCCATTGCACGGATTCCCTGCTTGAGCAGACTGCAGACTGCTAGGGCTTGGACGGTACAGCAAAAGATCTTCAGCGCAAAGGCCTGACTCACCAGTGCAGTTGAATTGCGCGCGGAAGGAACTTTGCAAAGCCAATATCCTAGTCACTCAAATTAGCAGGAGTTGTCGGAGCTGTCGGAGATGGCGTGGCTGATGCGGCGAGAATCTCAGATGGTGCTAGTTGCTTTTCCTCTCGTGTTCAGGATGCACGTCTGCCAGCTTTGGCCGATGTTGTGGGTGTCGATTCGCACTGCTCAAGACGTTAGATTGCGCAAAGCAGTCTGACTCGGATGGCTTCAGTGTTGGCGGTTGAGCAGCAGGAATTCCCAGTCGAACATTTCCAGGCATGGGCTTCGAGAAGGTCTCAGGGACGGGCAGAGATGAGCGATGAATACTGCCTTTGAGACTTCTAACGTGACAACGGTCTACCGCCTGCTTGTGACAATGAAGACTTCAGCCCTGACATGATGGCGGTATTCATGCAGGACGCGACTTTTGAAGGATGATCCGGAACCCGCAATGCGCAGTGTCGTGCGGAGACGTCTCGTTGGCGCGTGAGCAGAAAACTGCAAACGAAGCGCCAAAAGCGACCTATGGTGTGATTCAATGGTTGAATGCAGAGGATTGGGCTTTGGGTTATATGGGGGCCTACTGTTTGGGTGCGCAGAGCTGTATCGCAGCAACTTCAAAGGCACTTCCATGGTGCCCGTAACCATCTGGCAGGGTTGAAAGTGTGTCTATGTTATGAGTCAGCGGAGTCTTCGGCCTTTTCGCACATGTGACAAGCTGAATGACTTTTGTTGTGCGCCAGTACTATACATAGATCAATCTGGGCTCGAGACTGAACCGGTACCCCTCGGACAAAACTTTCAGCAAAAGAGCAGCGCCGGCCAATGGGCTCTGACATCAGAGCGCGATGGGGGCAGCGGTGGACGCCCCTAGTCTTCCTTGCTGCATGTAGGAGTACATGGGCAATCCATCCTGGAATGGAGATTGGAATCGAGCAGGAAGCGGAAGACATACAGGCGGCGAGACATGAACATGAAGTAGGATAGGTTTCTCAGACGTACTCTTAACGTCGAAGCAAAGATGTCTCCTTCTCCAGTTGCGATTGAGGCTGTGGGTCAGATGCAGTTCGAATGTTGTACCAAAACTGAAGCACGTGTCAGAACTACATCCGGCAGACGACTTCGCTCAATCTGTGTTTCGAATGGAAGGCGATTTGGAAATATGGGTTCACCTGAAAGTAGTTTGAGAAACATTGCAAACTGTGGCGCATCAAGGCGGCTGCAACGTACTGTCGCATTGCCCGGCGAATCCGGAGCCGATCCAACATAGCACGTCGTCTGTTCAAGTGGCATGTGCATCTTGCCGGACTTGAAAAGCGCACATCGCTAGGACTGACTTGTGCCACTTGTGTTAGGGCTAGGGCCTAGGATTTGGGGTTTCGCGCTTAGGGTTTGTAATGTTAGAGCTTGGGGTTTTCAAATTCAGGGCTTTCGGGTGAAAAGTTTTCGGAGATCGCGTTGCAGAGGTTGCGCAGAAATTCAGCGACGGCTCTTCTGCATGTGGCTGTTCAGGTTTCTTCAGCGCGCCTCTTCTGAAAGGTGTCAAACATCAAAATTCAAGGTTTGCGCTGGGGTATGTTCTGGGACGCAGGGCCTTCTCATTGCTTTTGCGACCCATGCATGGCACATGTCCGGCTACTTCGTCGCCACTCTGTTGCGGGAAACTTCCAGAACGCCGTTTAGGGGTGGTCCAGACAGACGACGCGCGCCTCTTATATGTAGGATGTAGGTGTTCCATGGTCTCCCCAGAGTCACCTCAAGTCGTGAAGGGTTGGGGGCCCATCCTTGTCCAGTTGGCTGAGTCGCCTCGAGTTGTGAAGGGTTGGGGCCCGCAATCCTTGTCATTTTGGAATGCTGTTCAACCGCAACATTTACGGCGATCTTTGGAAGAGGAGCTCGTAGTCCACTTGGAAGGTGCTCAATCACCTTTAAGGTTCTGGGTGGTTTCACTCCCACAGCAGTGAGGGGGGTGGTAGGCGGGCTAAGGGTAATTCGGGTTTTAGGGTTTCCAGTTGAAAGATTGGGGTACTATAGTGTATTGTTGTTATTACTGCTACTGCTGCTGCTGTTGTGTTGTCGTCGTCGTGGCGGTTGTTATTGTTATTGTTGTGTTGCTGTCGTTGTTGTAGTAGTAGCCGCTACGGTTCACAGAAGGCATCTTAAGATTGCTAACTGGGCTTCGGGCGCAACTCTAAAGGTTTGCAACAGGCTCCTTTGCGAAGCGTAAAGGACGTCCTGCTGCCTGAGCCATTTGAGTGTGCCTCGAAGCTTCGTGCCTGTGTGGACTGCCCGGTCCCAATTCCCCCGGCCTCCCGCGACTGCAAGTTCTGGACAAGCTGGAGGTAAGCGGTAGGGTTTCCACCTTTCCGCGCGGTGGAGGGAGCAGTATTTGTTTGGGCTTACACCAGATGTTGCGAAATTAGCGGATGGCGCGCAGACCGTGCCTCAGTGCTCTTCTCCCGCCCTTGCTTTTACAAAAGGACCTGCTGCACCAAACCAGTCAAGGAGCAGTTCCAGTCGTAAGTTGGCCGTTGTCTGAACTTGGGTACCTTGAAGGAAGCTTTCGAGACGAGGCCTCGTTCCTTGCCTTTCTTCGACTTCTCTACTTCTGGACAAGACACCCAGAAACAGCTGAAGGCTTTATCTGTGCATTTGTGCTGGCACTTTGGCTTTGCGCTTCTACGAGCACTCTCTTACAAGAAGGACCCGGGCCACCTGCGCTTTTCACGCAGTCTGCTTCGGATCAGACACCTTCTTCCAAAGGCAGGGTAGACTGCCACCGCCTGCGACAAAGCCAGTGCGATCGATGTCCTCCTTCACTGTTGAAAGCCTTTAAGCTGCCAGCGCCTGGGAACAAGTCAGACACGGGAGAGGATGGGTGCCACTTTGAGGTTTGCAACTCGTCAGCATCCTCCCAATGCGCACCCCATTGCAGGGACTTCTCTTGTTATGGGGCGCCCTTGAGGGCCTCCTCCCTTGATGGGAAGCCTTTGCACAAGACACCGGGCCAGACTTGTCTTCAGAACCAGGCGCAGATTGGGACACCGTCTCCAGTCCCAATACGGTGTCTACCTTGGTGCGAATCCACGTCACATCTGGGGACAGTCGCTAAGCCGACACTCTTGCTGTGCTATGGGTGTCGGGCTACGGCTACGGCCCTCCCGTTACTGTCCTGTTACCGACGGGGTCAGGCAGTGACAGAAGTAACGGCTCACGCGCCTTGCCAACGAACCATCTTACGGCCCAGCGCTGGTAGTCTGGAGTTACCTAGTGTCGGACGCCACTGGACGGGAACCCGAGTGCGACCCGCCGGCTGCCAGTTCGTGAGTATTGGACGCAATGACTCACACTGAGGGTGGCGTAGGATACAAGACACGGATTTTGTGAGCCTAGCTGTCACATGAGGAGTCGCGGGCACCGCCAGTGCCAAAACAAAGGCACCCCTCTTGGAACTGATAGCACAATCAACTGACTTGCCTCCGTGGAGCAAGTGCTGAAGAGCTACTGTTGCATTGTACAGATTGCAGTGACTCTCTTTCACTTAAGCCCTACTCACCTATTCTGTTAACTTTTCTAGCTAAGGTTCCTCTTGTTCCCTTCTCTGAGGATCCTATAGGGGTTGAGCGGTCTTCTGTGAAGGGTTCTTTGCTCGTTTTCTGTTTTAGGTTGTTTTTTCTGTGTTTTTGTTTGAGGTTGATGGCAGGCCCGAGATACCTGTGATGATCGCAGGGCAGTCCCCTCGCCCCGCCGCCACAACCTGTATAAGGAACTTTAAGGCCGCTTTGCCTCTATTGGAATGTCGGCAAGTCAGCTACTAAGCGGCGGCGCTGGCTAAGGGCGCTTTTCGCAGTTTCTGATGCGCCCGCTATGAGCAGAGCCCGCTCGCTCAGCGTCCATTAAAAAATTATTGTTGTTGTACCCGTCCCGCACAGCAATCTCACGATGCCGATTGGGACTGGCAGTGGCAGCACTGGAACTGGGGCGGCTACTACCACCAACATCCGGCGTGGCCCCAATACCCCAACCAGTGAAGCAGAGCTGCCTAGACGGCTTTTTAGATTTCTCATCTTGTATCATATCTGCAGCCTGGCACCGCCACGCATGCATCCGACGTGGCACCGCCTCCGGGAATTGGTAAAGTGGCCTCTTCTGACTGCAACGCACTTTTTTCAGAAGTCAGCGCTCTACTGCACACGAGCCTGGATGAAAACAGTCGGCTCGACGTATGCAGGCACCTTCCAAACAATTGTTCTTTGCACAGGTGGCCGCCGGCCATCACATTGCAAGTACTCCCGGACTGCCGTCATTCCTTACGGCCCATCGCTTGCAGCAGGAGTTACCTAGTGTGGGACGCCACTAGACAGGAACTCAAGGTGCCGGCTCCCTCGGGAGTACGACAGCTGACTGCCTACAAGCGAGTGAGCATCGGACGCGATAGCTCACATTCAGGGTGTCGGAGAAGGCTGAAGCTTTCCTTTATTCTCTTTTCACACTCTAGTAGAGCTGAGTGACTGAGAGGTTACAACTGAGCGATGGATGCATAGCCTTTGGGTCTCACGAGTGCGCGGGAGCACAGGCGCCCGCAAAGCGCAGAGCACGCTCGCGCAGCGTTCAATTGAAAAAAATGTTGTTGTTGTTGTGGTTGTTGCGGTTGTTGTGGTTGTTGTGGTCGTCGTCGTCGTCATGACCATCACGGAGCGCAAGAGACATAAATGGCGATTTCAAGAGCATGCCCTCGAGTTCTGATTCTCAAGCCTTTTGCAGACTCAGTCTACGACTCTAAGAGAGTGCGTTCTTGGCATGCCGATTGGTTTTGAGCAGGCAGTCCGACAGTTCAATCGCAAGTGATAGGTCTCAATATCCACGGCTCGCAGGTGGCGCTCTTGCAAGCCAAAATTCAGCTTCGAAGGGTGCTGGTCGAAACAGACGAAAGACGCGATGCAGGCGGGAGGCAGTCTATGGTAGTTGAGTGGCTGCAGCCCAATTTGTTCGTGTGCAGGCTCGAGTGCAAGCACCTCCGAGTTCCTTCGTGGAGTCGAGCAGCTGGAGGCCCGGGTGACGGCGCTGTCATCTCGGCTGGAACGGATGAAAACGAGGACGCCATGGCTGCTTCGAATGTCTGCTCAGGCTTTTCTCTTTGTCTGGACGCACTGCTACTGCTACTTGTGTAGGGAAGGATCACAGCCGCCGTATAGTATTGCCTCGACGTAACTTCTCTGTCATCTCCGTTGTCATCTTGTTAGGTTCTTCCAACCCTTCGATTGCCTTGTCGGCATTGTCCGAAAAATGGGCGACTTCCTGGGAGACCTGGTGCTCCATCCGCGAAGCTTTGCCTGGCAGCAGCTTGGGATCTTCTGCCTTTGTCTTGCAGGTGCATTGGCACTTCTACACTGCTCCCCTAAATAGGATTTCGAAGGTTCGTAGCCCATACTGCTGAACATACTCGGGAATGGGCAATGGCTGCAGGCGTCTGCGTCGGGGCCTTGCAGCTGAAGCAGCATCGCTTTCTCAGCGACAAGACTGCGGGAGCTTCCGCGACTGTGATGGGACTCTCCATAGGCTTCCCAACTGAAAATATGGAGACTCTGCATGGTTTTGTCCAGTCCGGAGTGCAATGCGCAGCTAAGGTCTGGCCTCAGTATTCGTTGCAGGTGCAATCTGCCATCCCTTGATCCCCTGGCTCCTGATCCTCGTTTGGTGTTGGATTCACCGGGCTGCGCGCCCGATGCCGTAGCGAAAACGAGAGACATGCAACGGAGCCGACTTGGTCCGGAACAAAAAGTGCTTGTTGCCTTCGGGTGCTTCCTGCATATCAGCAGATCATTAACTTCCGCTCGTTCAGGTCGACATTGTGTCAGACTTCGTGAGTGACACTGTGACTGGCATTGCAGATGGTGTCCATGGCATCCTCAACTTTGTAGACGACTCAGTCTCGAGCCCCCAGACCCAAGCAGCGCTCTTGTTTGGCTGTTGTTTAGATGTGCTTTTCTGCTTCCAGTAAGCTGCTCCCATGCGGATCCCCGTTCGCCTGTGAGTAGATGTGATTGAAGGTATGAGACAGGTCGAACCATGGACAGATGCTTTCAGCTTTGAATGTTAACTCCGAGTCCGGAGGACACCGAGCAGCCTCAAGCTCTCTGGCCTCCAGCACTAAGCCAACAAACAAAAACTCAAGTGTCCAGTCAAGGCCACTGGCACGGAGGAAGGGGCGGCCGTACCCGTGCAAGAAACACATCTCGTGTGAGTCCTGGTGATGCATGTGCCCGGTCGCTCGCAGATCCTGTCGTGGGTGAACTTCTTAAGGTTAAAATTGTGATTGCAGAGCTTTTCGGTGCCGAGAAGCTGCAGACTAAGAGACCCAAATGTCCATGTTTGCCTGCGCAGCTGGACACCACGTTGTCTTCCGTAAGGACACTGGGGCTCCGGATAGAGAGCCGTGTTGTTACCGCCTTCACGAAAGAAGAGGCCTCCCTGCATCTTCTGTTTTGCGAAGCAGCGATGGCTCAAACTGCCGAGGCAGTCCGGTTGGGCTGGAGACTTGGTGACTGCATTCTCGCAGTCGGTCGTCAACGAGTCCCGACGCAGGCAGACGAGCGTATCTGTAGGATCAGAAGCCTTGTACAGTCTGTTGAGGAAGCGCTGCTGGCTGGAATTTCCGGCTGCAAGGAGGCCTGCAACCCTCCACTTGTCGGATGCAGATTCGATTGACCGCCAGGCATTGCGAATGAACGGGACCCCGATCGAGTTTCTTGTTGAGAGAATGGGTGCGAGGCCCTAAATTGGTAAAACCGCTCGGATGCCCTGGTACTAGTTTGCTCTAGTGTTCAGGGCCTCTGCGCTGCGGAAAGCGTTTCCGCAACTTAATAGGACAACTGAGCAACCCCGTGCCAGCAATGGCAAGGCCCTGATAGAACTCGGGAAGGAGTGGCTGCGAAATCCGCAGTTCGCTGTCAGGCATTGAAGGGCTTCGTGGCTTGGCCTTGATGCCCAACTAATTGCCCCATCTGCCCCGTGCTGTTTGAGCCATCGCATGGCGGCATGGTGCGAGTTTTCCGTGGCCGGATGGCCCGTCCCGCCGAAGCGGGCCAAAGATGCCAGCGCAAGACTCAAAAAGAGACGTTTCAGGTGCAAGAGCAGCCTGCGAGCCTTCGAAGTCGTAGGATGATGTCCTATCGGTCGGCATCGCGCCAGGGGCCAGGGTTCGAGCTCCGCATGATATTTCATAATATCACTGCGCCTGACAGCCTGGATTTTGTGCTTTCATGTCTCGTAGCTTGGTATGGGCTCACTTTGGGAACGGCCAATCTTTTCATTTATCAGCGTGCAGGCCAGCACGGAACCCGCTCCGTGCACGAGTGTTCATTTCACCACCCTACATCTTGCTTGGTACTGGCAGGCTTGTGGAGAGTGTCGACCAATGAACTTCGCGGCTGTGCAGGTTCGGGGGTCAGCAGTTTGTGTTGCGGGTAGTGGCGCCTTCCTTCAACAGTGATGATATCGACAAGCAGGGGCTGAACAAGACTGGCATCCCATTGTCAATGCCGGGGGCCTTGCTTAAGCTTGTGGTATCAGCGGACCTGCATGTAGATCCTTCTGCCATGCGGCAGAAGATCGAAGAATCGCATTCTTCGCAGATAGTTTTCAGGCCGATGCCTTCGATGTCCGTCTTTGATGAGGCGCGACTCCACGTTGTTCCTTCCATTCCCCCCCCCGCCTCGAGAGACGCCACGCTCTCCAGACTCTGCTTGTACCAGGTCAGCACTGGCGACGATTCCGAGGCTTCACGTCCTGGTTTTGCTCGCCACCTCTTGGCCCAAGGTATACCGCATCTCACACGACAATGACCGATGCCTGCTGTCTTGGCTCAGAAGAGTTTTGTTCAGCCGAAGACGGAGACAAGGTCCAAACAGAAGAGCCCGGGGAAAGCCCTGCAGCTGTGCAGAACACAAGCGGCTTACGAGGGTTAGAATACGCACGCAGTGGTGCCATGCATGCTGGCACTAACACTTCGCCGCCTTGCATCTGAAAGCTGCCAGACTGCCTGTCCCGAACACACGCATGTTATCAACCTTGTAGTTAAAACCTGAGCCGGCAAAGTGTGTTAGCAATGGCGAGTCTTCCAGGAGGACGACCAGGGACCGTGAAGGCCTGGATTGAGGAGCGTGGGATGGGCTTCATTGCTCCGGCCGATGGGAGTCCTGATGTTTTCGTGCATCGAAGCAATCTCACCGACGGCAATGCCTTGGTGATTGGCTCGGAGGTTTTTTTTGAGCCAGGCTGGGACGACTCCAAAAGCAAGCCCATCGCAGCAAAATGCTCTGGAGCCACTACATTGAATGGCGGAGCTCTTATAAGAAGGGCTCCTGGACCTGGACCTCCGCTCGCAAACGGGCAGCCAGGCACTGTGAAAGCCTGGCTGGACGATCGTGGCATGGGATTCATTTCACCAGCGGATGGGGGCGCGGATGTGTTTGTGCACCGGAGTAACTTGATGGATGGGAATTGCCTTTCTGTAGGCGCCCAAGTCATGTTTGAGGCAGGCTGGGACGAAAGCAAGGCCAAGCCCATTGCTAAAGCAGTCAGTGGTGCCGCAATGGCTCCCACCATGTCAGGAAAGGGCTGCTGGGGTTCTCCGTCGATCCCCAACGGGCAGCATGGAGTTGTCAAGGCTTGGATTGATGCGAGAGGCATGGGATTCATTACACCAGCCGACGGCAGTGCAGACGTATTCGTCCACCGGAGCAATCTGATAGATGGCGATGCGCTGATCGTTGGAGCTCCGGTCGTCTTCGAAGCTGGTTTCGATCCGCAAAAGGGCAAGCCCATAGCGAAGGCACGGACAATCGACAGACATGTTAATCGTGATAAGCTGCAATGTAAGCAATGCAAAGTGGACCTGAACGTGTTCATCGGCCGGGAAAAGCTCGACCCTGCAGGTGTGTGCAGGCGCCACGCAAGGCTCGTTCCGCGCTGTGCATGTCGCTGTGTGAAAGAGCTTCGGCAAGATTTCCGGTTGTAATGTAGGCATCCTCACGCCAACAGGAACATGTGACGTGGTAAAGTGCGAAAACGTCGCTTTTCAGCTCTCGCCCATTGACCGCTCTGGCCCTCGCACCGTCTGCAGCTGCCATCGTGGCCAGAAGCAGAACGCCCTCCGACACCGGAGCAAAACGCAAGCCCGGCAAATGCCCGCCCGCTCGCCAAGGATCTCACACACCAGCAGGATGCTCGTCACACCGAGTTACATCCATCACCGGATGATTGCTCTCTATGTGCTTCGAGCAGCGCTTACATGAGAATGACCGGACACATCCCAAGACAAGAGTGCATCGAAGTAGACATGCAAGGCAGATCAACAACTGCCAGGCTCTATCGCTAGTGTAGGATGCAGGCACCATTTCTCAGATAGCAAAGCTCCACAAATTCCCGTACGAGGGACTGTTTGCAGTGTAGTCACTCTGGCCCATTTGGGCACAGGAGCACGTCTTCAAATACATGATAGGGCACGGTGATAGGCCAAACTGAATAAAGGCTCGTAGACTCAGGGGCTAAACTTTGATTACGCATGCGAGCATTGCTGCGTCCAGGCGCGGCCATGGGCTTCGGTGGCCCCGCAGCAGGCAAAGGCGGCCAGGGACATGCGAACGGTCTCGAGCCGCTGACTGGGGTCATGAAGGTGCAATGCCCGTTCTGCACATGTTGGAAGACTGTAGCCGAAGTTCGCCTCGACCACTATTGCTGCAACGAAAGGTCTGGTTTGCGGACAAGGGCTTCGGTGTCCGGACTGCAAGTTGTCTTTGGAGTTTTCACGACCATTGATGACGGACACATGCTCATGCGCACTGGCAAGGTTTCATAACACTTGACAATGGAATGGGCGATGCGTTCGTTGGCAGCAGCGCCATTCCGGCGGGCATGGTCCCTCATGACGGCTGCTCGGTTGCAGTATTGTGCCATGCATCTTTGATTCTCTTTTGCACAGCCGTCGCCCTGGTTTCCACTCGAAACGTGTACGTTGCTTGAGATACTTTTGCAGCAAGCGGCACGCATCAACCCTTAACCACAGTGACGATCCGGACATGGTGCATAGGAGGGAGAACTCTGCAGGTATGCCTGTTGTCTTCACGGCATCGTGGAATCCAGAGAAGCAGAAGTTCACGGCCATGGAGGCGTTTCGTTACATCGAGTTTCATTGCAAATTAATGGACTGGCGGTCGGTCTGATTCTGGCCATAATGTACAAGGTGCATGGAACTTGACAAAAGGCTTCGTTGAACTCTGGCAGGGACGCAAGCTGAAAGCTCCAGACTACTGGTGATGTTCAAGCGGACCTTACTTGGTCGAGCCGTGAGTGTCGAAACGCGGGACAAGCGAAACTGTTTCTGCAGTTCCTTTCACCCTGTTGTATTTGCCGTATCCACTCGGCAACTGGGACAATACCTTCGTGTGCATGCTACTGCCATTCTGTTTGAAGCCTCCGTTTGTTTGACTTTGCGCACTGGAACTCCCGCTCCATCAGAGCAAAGTAATTCTTGCCTGTCGATACATGTGATCAGACTTTCATTTGTTTTCGCGCACTTGCGCTTTTTTGGCCGTCACTCCAGTTTGTGTCTGTGCTCGTGACCTCAGGATGTGGAACTTCCCGCTAGCATCAAGGTTCAATTCGGTCTTTTCTGATTTCGTGTGCACCTTATGGCAGCAAGGTGACTATGTGATCGAACATCTCGTAGTGGAGTGTGCATTTCCTTCTCCTTCTCAGAAATGCATCGGGACTAGTGCCACATGCATCGGAGTGTGTTTGTGTTTGTGGCAAAAACGATACTGACAACTCGCGAGAGGAGAGCATCCTGAAACGCCGGACATTCTTGTTCAGTCTGGGTCTCGAACCGCTTGGGTCCTTTGGAGCTTTGGTTGGGTCCAGGAGGTGGTGTCTTTTACGCTGTGCAGACATGGAAGGTCATTCAGAAAGCACTTGCAGATTGCAGGGTGTCCTCTACTGTATCGGTTCCATGTGGCTGCATGATATACCATCATCATAAGTTCTGCAGAAACGGTGGATTCGCAGGCTTCCAGATGCAACAGTGAGTGGAACATCACCGCACAAGCTGAGGATACACTTGGTCTTGTGTCTGCTTTCCTACGTTTTCTTCCTTTCAACCTCCTTTGTAGGAGTTGGCGTTTTTCTCCTAAGCACTCTGGTCGACGAAGGGCACCCTTCCAGGCAACCAAGAAACCACTCTCGCGCGACCGCTGGACGAGGATCTCCATACTCGTAACGACCTGTCTTGTGACTGTGATTCTGAGCTGTCGGTTCGTTGAGGGACTTCAGGTCTTGTTTCATCCGTGTTACCTCTGCATTTCCGCACCCTGCAGATCCTTCCGGATGCCAAAGGCAAGGGCAAAGGATCAAGTGGAGCAAGCGCGAGCTAGAGCCTGAGATCTGCTGCAACGTGTGTGGTGGTGTGGCTCTCGGAGAGAGAGAGAGAGAGAGAGAGAGAGAGAGAGAGAGAGAGAGAGAGATGGCTCAAGCCGCGAGTGCTCAAGCCTGTGGGGGGCCCTCCGTGAGCCCTTTCTCTCTCCTTTCTTCAGTCCCCCACAGGACAACCAAACTTCTTTCTTGCCGCTCCTTTTTTCTTCCGCCGCATTGCACCCGAGGGACATAGCAGAGTGTGCGCCGAACGAGCTCAACTTTCTTGCGGGGGACCTAGGTGACTTCGGAGCACGGGGGTGACCGCAGCTGCGCAGAACCTTGTCCGTTTTGCCACCAACGAGCCCTACGGCATAGCGACCCTACTCAGGTCCTACCGCTTTTAATCGATTCAGGGGATCGCCTATCTCGAACGGGGACATCTCCTACGTCGTGATCGTGACTTGGGCACGGACACCGTGAATCATATCCACGTCAACGGCTACCTGAACGGGGAGACAAGGGGATCCGCCCCTGAAGACAGAGGCAATGGAACCAAAGGCCCGGGCACGATCCTCGAGGACTTCGCCTGCTTCGTCGAGCACACAACAGTCAAGCTCGGGTCTCAGCTCCGTCAGCACTCCGGGGGCTTCCCCGCCAAAGCCTGAAGTCCCTCACTGCAGACGATGTGCAGAGGGACCGAGTTACGAAAGACGTGATCCAGCATGCGTTCTGTACGGGTGCACTGCCAACAGCCCCGCAGGCATCCAGTCCTTCATGCGAGATAAAGCCGTGGAGCAAGCCAAGCAAGAGGCGCGTAAGGCAGCCTTTCTGGACGCAGACGCAGGACTCCCGCTACTACCACAACCAGAACCACACCAAGAGACGGGGGACATCCCCCAAGGCCTCTGTGAGAGATGCATCCGGGGCCCGGCTTTTCATGGTAAACACAACAAAATAGCTACCAACTGCATCTTTTACGGAGCCGAGGATACAGACATCACCAGAGCTCGGGGAACTGCCCTTGCACAAGAGACCACCATGGCTCGAGAAGAGGCGTATCGCGAAGCCAGACGTGAACTCGAGGTACAGCCAGCACTCAAAGATCCGACTAAACCGAAGACGATACCTTCTACCAGAACGCCCCCCCCCCCCCACCCCCTCCCTCCACGGAAGGAGGCCAACAAGCAACCCAAGGCGACTCCCAATGCCGTCATCTACAGCAGGTTCGAAGCCGACGACCCGGTTTTGGCAGTGGTACAAAACATTTTGGAAAACTCCGGAGACATGCCGGTAAGCACCCAAGACTACAGCCCAACACGGGACGGCCGATCTAGCACTCCAGTTCGCGCCTGCGCGAGCCCACCGGCAGCACTGATACCACCGCCATTACCGCAGACGAAGCCCCACATGCAGACGCAGCTCGCTGCAACCTCTTCTCCGCCTCCTATGCGTACATGGACCATCCGGGGCATCTCCCCGCTTGAAGCCGGAGCAGCTCAGGCCATCCCTGGCCCTCCCTCTTACAGTGACAGTCGATTTGCTACAGCATCCCAGCAGGAGGTGCTAGACAAAGTGACGGGAATGGAAGTCTTCACAGAGCCGCGGCACTCCGAGACTGGCATCAGACACAGCGGGGATGACCCCGAAACACACCCCCCACGCCACGACCTCCAAGCCCAGGGCGAGGTGGACTCCAATCTGAACGCATCGATCCTGCAGAACCAGGCCGACAAGACCGACTACACGGAGGCCAGTGCCAGTACCGGGGACAACCCCCCCCAACCTCAGGGCGATACTGCGCCCCCTCAGGCACCTGACGCGGAGTCGACGAAAGGTCACCATGCAGAACCACAAGGCGCGCTGGCGACGATTCCGGAGATTGTCAACAGCGAGCTTTATTACCCGCAACTCCTGTGCCAGGTCATGCAGGGGCGAGCCCCAACCACCGGATGCAGACGATGACCCAACCTCTCAGCCTAACCGAGATGTACCAGTTGCACCAAAGGGGCTACACCCCACTGAAGATATCTTCGCGGACGATGCCGACCTGGACGACATAGGGGTGGCAGCGGCCCCTTACGAAGCCCATGAACATGGCGGAGGACAAGCTTCTTCGAGCTCTGCCGCACCACCACCGGAACCACTGGGAGTGTCCTCCAGACGGACGACGCGCCAGAAACAACGACTACAACAACTCTTGCAAGCCGGGGAAGTTCACCGAGACAATGATGCAGAGAATGACGACCAACTTTGGAAACGGTACAGAGGGCAAAGTAAGCTGCACTACAGAGAACACCGCCGAGACAAGCGGCGGCAGGGTGACTGGTTGCCGGACCAGAAGCGAAGCAAGAAGGGGTGAAAAAGTGAGCATGGCGTAGAATCGGGGATAACCCCGGGGTAGCCCTTTTTTTCCTTCACTGACATTAATTCGTGCTCGAGTCGTGAGCACCATGTTTTCCTTTGCAGGGGTACACCCTCAGTACTGCTGCTTCTCTCAACTCCGCACAGCTGAGATCTAGAAGGTAAGAAGCATAGCTCCTGCCTTCCGCTATCTTCTTCTGTACTTTTGTCGTCTGAGCCGCACGCTCGGTTGTACAATAAGACGGGCCGCTGAGCCATCCCAACTCTGATCCAGGCCCCTGGGCCCACTGAACTCTTTTCAACACGATCCAAAGGGCTGTTGCCCTGATGCACTGTGGACGGTCATTCAGGTGCTGTTGGCGGGGGACCTCAGTTGTCTTCTTTTTCCCTGCTGCCTCGAAAGGGGAATCCTGCCAGCAGCATGATTGTAACAAGGTGCTGCGTGCAGTCGCCGAGGGATGCGAAATCTTTTTTACGCGCCCTCACCCCGTGGCTTGCATGAAACTCATTCACCTCCGCAACCGTCGGGGGCGCACTAGCGCGCGGTGTAGGGGGTAAAGCCCCTGCACCATAGCCCTGGCGAAAGAGACAAGAGAGAGAGAGAGAGAGAGAGAGAGAGCGAGAGAGAGAGAGAGGGAGAGAGAGAGAGAGAGAGTAGATTTATCCTTGACGACCCCTACGCCCTGCAGAAAGAAAGAAAGAGATTAGCTTTATTTGTCTGCTTGTTGGACTTTCACTTGTACGCTTGCTGACGCTGGCATCGGATTTGCCTTGGCGTGTTTTTCACTCCTGGCTTCCCCAAAACATTTGGGGGGGCGCCGACGCGCCGGAGCAAGGGGTCTGTTTGCTTCTACCCTCGCGAAAGAAAGAGAGAGCCTGTAATCGTGGCCACCATTGCTTCCCTTGGCTGTACAGGCTTCGGGGCATGGTAGCGGTAGAGTGCTCAACCTTAAGCTAGCGTTTAACATTGCTAGAGGGGCTCAGCTCTGTTGTTCAGTACACCAGGTAGCTTCCGGTCGGGAATTGGCAACCTTTGCAATCAGCACTGTCGGGGCGTTGTTGTCCACGTTTATTTGAGCCTTGTCGCGCACATACTTGCTCGTGACTGTCGTCGTACTCTCACCGGGCACTTCGCTTTGGTTCTGACTCGCGAGGCACGCCGAAGACAGTCAGGAGTCGGACTTGTCATGCAGCACGCGGAGTGTGAGCAAGGACATGTCCGGCGAAAGACGCACATGCCGCAGCAGCTGTTGCCAGCGTTAAATTGCGTCTCCTGCCGATTCCGCTCCCGCCCGCACCACCCGTTGGTTTTGAATTATTGGGAGCATAGAGAGCAAGGGTCGTCGCTCTGCGGCGGGCGGCAGGCCGGGTAATTAGCTCAAGGCGTCCCCGGCTCCGCACAGCATACCTGTCACTTTGGCGAATGGCACGAACCCGACGCGATGCGCTTTCATATCATCCCAATAGAGGTTCGTTCGTCGCAGCCTTCTGGCGTTTTGTCGGGAATTGGACTTGTCTGCAGTCGCGTAGTCTTGTAACTATAGATACGAGCGGAGGACTCAGAGGTGTTGAGGGAGTGGTAGAGGCAGAAAGCCATTGCTGCGCATTTGAGGAGGGATGGATGTGCTGGGTTGGCCGTGCTGTGATTGATCATTTGGCCACCGTCCGTAAGGACCTCGTTGCCTATCGATGTGCTTGATTTTCTTTCAATGAGCCCGCTTCTTGAATTGTGTGCAAGCAGCCACCTGGCTGTTCTTGAGAGTCTTTCACTAAAGATGCCAACTCCCCTATGAAATCAGAACGGAGTCTGCATTGCCTGCGGAAGGAAAGCAGGCAGGCCGGGAGAGACGGAGAGAGAGAGAGGAGAGATGGACCTGCAAAGCATCGGAGCCGTGGGCATGCATGAAACTTTCTCGCCCCGCAACTGTCGGGGGGGGGGCACGTGCGCTAGGTGTAGGGGGTAAAACCCCTACACCCTAGCCCTGGCGAGCGAAAGAGAGATGGAGAGAGCTGTTGACCTTTGTTGAATCCAACGGCCGGAGGGGATCCCATAATGCCAGAGCACAAGCACTGCCCAAAACTCAATTTTCAGTGTCTTTCCCTGGGGCATAGTATCTATTTTCTCGCATAGCGTGGGATGCAGTTGTTTACCATAGTGCAGTTAACCAAACGCCGCAACTTTTTGGCGGAAAGGGTTGTAGCAGCAGGTGTTAAAGAGGCCATCGATGGCCATAGAGGGCGCGGTGACGAGGCCGGGCTGGGGGCTCGTGTTCAGGGCGAGGTGGGGCCTTCTGAAGCTGTCCCGCGGGGCCGTACACCACCTGCGCTACAGACCCCAATGCGTTCTTCTCTCTGAAAGCGGAAAAGGGGTGGGCACCCCAGGCGCGCTCTTCTCGAAGAGAGACAGAGAGAGAGAGAGAGAGAGAGAGAGAGAGAGAGAGAGAGAGTTCGTCGCCTTCATCATAGCTTTGGCGAAAGTCGTTCGGGGCTTAAAGGTTTGCAGCTGCAACGTGGATCGCCCAGTCCACGGCCGCTTAAAAGTTTTCTTTGCGCTGTGTAGCTTTGTTGCACTGCTATGTTCGTCTACAGCTTCGCGAATCCCTGCACTGAAGCCCTCCCTTGAGAGTCGTGACTGGTGTTTGAAGTCGTAGGTTGTTTTCATTCCGGGGCGGTACTGACGAAGCACTCGAGGCGGAGGCATGTTGGTGTCACAGGACCGAGTGGTCCTCCAACGGAGGGCGTGAACCCCACTCATATGGGCGCAATCCTAAGCCCTGCGAAAGAAAGAGGGAGAGACGGAGGGAGGGCGAGAGTCAGAGAGAGAAAAAGACCGAAAGAAGCACGAAATTGATAGAGGTACAGAGTCTGCGCGCATTTTGGGGCTGAGCCGTCACGACATCTGGAAACTGTTATTTCTCTATAATTCCCAGCCAGCGGTTGGAACAAGCGGGCCTGGTACACGAGACGATACAAGGGCCACAGAAAGCATGGAATTACTCCGCCCACCGGTAAGCTCCCGACCCAGCCTGCAAGATTCGCGAACCGAGTCAAAGCAGTGAGGCGGGGAGCTTCCATGTGACAACTGCTTCGTCACTGGCCTTCCGCTTCTCGGTGCTGTGGATCCGTCATGGTAGGCGAGGGCGACTTGGGCCTGTGCCGCCTCCGGAGGCTAGACATGAACGAGGAGAAGCTTCAGAGCCTCTTCGGCACGTATGGAAACGTGGTCAGCTGCAAGGCGGCATGGGCGGCATGGGGATCAGAGGTCGTCGAAGCTTCGGGTTTGCTCCTGCTTGCGCGCTTCTGCTGCAGGTGCTCCCAGGCGAGGGCCGACCGGACAGGGCTGCCTTGGTCCGCTTCGCCACCGTCGACGAAGCCGCTTGGGTCGTCGAGAACGTGATGCCGGCTCGCTTGCTCGCTGTTTGCCTTTGCCTTTTCGGTGCTGTTCTCAGTTTGGCAGGGAATGTGTTCCTGCCAGGTTAGTGGCACACGCCCCCCCGGGCTGGAGACCCCAGTGAGCGAAACTGGGCTGGAACGTGACCCGTTTCTGAACCCGGCGAGGTTTCTGAAATCTAAGGTTCGATATGCGGCCTCGAAATCCCATGGCTCGAGCAGTCCAATCTTTCAGGGTCCAGGCCGGGACCGGTAGATTCACTGCTCAATTTGTGAAGGTTTGCACACAGCAACTCAGAATGCAGGCAAAGGTGGCTGTGGTCTTGGTGGAGGTGGCGAATATGGCCGAGTTGTCCCGCCTCCAGTCTCGCAAGTTCAGGCTGCACAAATCGGCTCCTTGGCACGGATGGATGCGACCCAATGACCAAGTGACACTCCGACCGAGTGCGACCTTCGCAGCAGTAAAGATCTTCAATCTAAGTCTAAGTGGAATCAGGAATGACATGAGAGCAAGGAGTGCCCCAGTGCCACAGGCTGTTGATCTGTGTCGATTCAAGCCTGCTTTGGCCTCCCGGGTCCCGACCCCCTTCGGGTTTCCTTTCTGCCTGGCGGCTAACTTTGGAAGTGTAGTGAATGGGGCCAAGTCCGGATCATGTGGCCATGCTTTCCGTTTACAGCGCGTGTTGAGCAGCAGATCTTGCATGAATGAACAGCACCTGGCACTTCGCCAGCACTCGTGCTCCAGATCGCTTTGAACCACGAGTCGAGAGTTTTCACCGGGCACCGCAAACTCCACATGGAGCTTGGTCAGCTTGGTGTTGGTAGTGGGCCGCCTGCAGCTTCAGCGCATGTCGGGGCTGTCAACTCATACCTTAAGCCACTCTAGAACTGTTCGAATGCCAGCAAATCCTGTGTCCAGCTGAGCGGGTTGACGTAGCGTTGCAGGCCCTGATGCTTTGCCAAAGGCCCAGAGGCAATTCCAAAGAGGCTTTCCATTAAGGCGTCCTACAGCTTCAGCAGCAACAAACAAGAGGGGAAACCCGTAGCAGCAGGAGCCCCGAAAGAGAGAGCACGGCCACAAGATGCCGCGAAGCTTCGCTTGAAGCAGTTCACGTAGAGCGACCCGCTCTTGCTTAGGATGAAACTTCAGGCAGACGGCTTGAGATCACTTGCACTTTTCAGGGAGGCCCAACTGTTACGCATGAACGTCCGAGGCACCGTGAAAGCAGCTATGGGCAACAGCATCTCGGGCCGGAATGCGCGGGCGACTGTCGCGTTGGGGTGAGTTGGCATGGGTCGCTGCCTACAGCTTCGAGCCGCTTCCAGGCCTCGTGGTAATTCCTGCTGATGGAGGCCCTGATCTACACGTGCCGATGAGCGCACTGCTTGATGGAAACCCCGAGGTGCGGTTCTTCCACAAACTAAGATGCAAACATGCCCGGTCGGTCTGCTAGGTGGGCGGCTTGGTGTCCTTCAGCGCTCAGGAGGGCAGAGGTGGCAAGGGTTTCGGAAAAGCACCTGCAGTCCCTGCAGGCTGGTACTCTCTGTTCTGTGGGGCTGTTTCGAGTTGCACCGATGCGATCGGGTTGCAGGCATGAGCCAACGTTACTCGCCATACGGTGCCACGGCTCCGCCGCATGGCCAGGCCAGCCAAACGTGATGCATACCTAGCGGACACAGCGCACTCAGTATCTGCTGGCTGTTGCAGCTGGAGGGATTGTCGTTTTACCGTTGCCGTGGTCATGTGCTGAATCATGCGCCGGCGTGGCGACGAAGGCTGGTGGTTTTGCCAAGGCCACTGGCACGGGCACCGTCAAGGTGCGAAGATTTGCCCAAGAGCTTGATGGCTGTGTTGTGCGAGCCACAGGCCTGGATGGAGAACAGAGGGATGGGCTTCATTGCTCCGAACGACGGCTCCCAAGACCTTTTCGTGCATAGAAGTTACCTCGCAGATGGAGGACAGTTCTTTGATTATCTTCGGTTTCGTTCTTTGCTGGTCTACATGGCTTGGTCGTATCGCTCTCATCCTCATAGCCGTCATCGCGAACATCGTTATCAGTGCCATCATCATCATCATCATCATCGTCCTCTTCTTCCTCCTCATCATCACCATCATCAACATCATCATCGTCATCTCACCATGACAGCCATCCTTATCCTGATGTTCGTCGTCTTCATCCTAAGCTGGCTTGGGAGGAGCACTTGTGGTTGGTTCGCCAGTGACATTCACGGCGGAATATGCCACTCGACAAGCAACTGCAACGGCAGCTTTCGCTCTCGGAGACAACATGTGACCTAAATGATCAATGTTCGCAAGTGTCGAGGACGTGCAGAAGGGCAAGGCGATTGCCGTGAATGTCTTCGGAGCCGTCCCTCAACCCATGCAGCGCCTCAGTGACACTAGAGGATATCGATGATGCGACTGACATTTTGGCAATGTGAGGTCGACGTGATAAGATCCAAATCAAGAGCCAGTGAAGTCGGGCTTCTCTGGCCCGCTGCAACAGCCTGGCGGGCTCATCCAAAGAGTAACATGAGATAATTATAAGCATGTGGACGATGATCTGCGCGGCTGCCCACAGCTGTGATAAACAGCTTCCGCTGCTCGCACTGCATCGTTATGCAACATTGTGCAACTCGGCTTGTCTGCATGACTTGCACGGCTCGATCTTGGCATGCTTGCAGGGTGGCTCCTACCCGCCTGTTGGTTGCCCAGTGCATTCAGTGCATCCATTGGTTCAAAGTCGCCGTGGCATGCCGAATGCTCCTGACTTGAAGGTCTACGGAACAGACCTGGGCACTGATGCAACCAGAAGAAGCTCGTCGACTGACACGCCCTCAGTTACTCAACAGCTCGAAGAGCCCAGTTCTTGTGCACATTCGCACTTATGTCAGAATTTTGCGGCTGGTGCGACAGGACGACTTTGGAGATGCCTCCCCTGACTCGCAAGCGACCCAGCCCGGTGAACGGTCGTGAGAATTCGTGTGTGTTGAACTCTGCCGAGGGCACCGCCTCCGTGGACAGTACCCTTTCCTGGCAAGGAGTTCGTCCCTGCAAAGATGGAGCTTCACAACATGGACATTCTTCGGGTTCCCACTTGCAGTGTTGCAGTGTCGCAATGCCATGGAACGCGACATAGTCCTACGCGCAAGGCGATGGAGGACATGCAGTCTACCCCAAATCTGCAGGACCTGACTTACTGACCCTAACTCTGCATTGGAGTGCTGATGATCGCAAATTCGTGCAGGACCCACATGGTTTCTTCCAACGGAAACAGGCCATGGCACAGAATCTCAACGATGCAGGCGCGATAGAGCCCTTGTCTCCCTTGTCTCCTCCTCTCCTTCCCTCTCCCTCCCACTCTTCACTGGACATTCGTTGTTACGGCCGTCACCCCCACACTCTTGCTGTTCGTTGTCCGGTCCTTCAGTTGCTGCTGCTGTTAGTTGTTCTTTTTGCTGCTACTGGTGCTGGAGGGTGCTGGTGGCCACCGCTGCATTCCAACCGATGTGTTGACGTCGCCTTCGCTGCGAGGCTACGTCAGCAACGACATGGCGCAAAAATGCTGCCACACTGGAATGTAGTCGACTTGCGATTGTCGCGAGCTTGCTTTTGCCAGCTGAGGGCTTCAGAAAGAGGTTGCGGAGTTGGCGAACCTCATGGCGCAGCGAGAATCTGAAATGCCAGGAGCTAAAGGACCTAGAACTCTGTAAGGTTACATGCTGGCAGGTGAGTGCACCCATGCTTCGTGGCAGTTGTGCCCGTTGGTTATCGGAGATTTGTGGGGATCGGCTTGTAGTTTCCTTCTCATCCTGGAATCTGTTGTTTCCGCCGCCGAGCATTTGCAGCTTTCGTTGCGTCCCCTTCCTCAAAAGACACGTGCGAGATCCGAACTTCACTTCCACAGCCTTCTTTGGTGAAGTATGGCATGTTCAGGGCTTCTCTCCTCTAGAAAGGCTTGCGTGTTCGAGAAGAGGTTTTGGCTTCGGGGTGCGACCGCGCATGACCACTAGTGAACCGAGTGTGGCACGTTAGATGCGTGGCTACGAGAAGGCACTGAGGATGAGGTAAGAAAGCGATTGAATGCTTCAGGCAGAGCCTCCATCAGCAGCTTGCTCTGCTTTCCATGGTGCAAGCTCCTCTTCCGAAATCCGACGTTAATCAGGCCTGGCCCTTTCAGACACTTGTCCCCCTTGCGGTTCAGATTGGACAGTTTGGATGTCAGGGCCTGGAGACACAAATCCACCTACTACGAAGCCAGTTGGACCAGATCACTGACATGATGAGGTGCTGAGCTCCTTCTCCCTTGCCTGGGGATCACCGCCCCACTCGCCCCGACCCCACGAGCACTGCACAAAGAGTAAACGTACAGTGGTCGCCGGCGGACATGCAGCAAGAAGCCAAAAGACTCCGTGACCCTATGCGTAGATTGAAGGGAAGCCTCCCGATGTCGACGATATGGCAGGCGAACTCAGCTGGGGGCAACAGGTGCCTCTCCACAGGGTCCACAGGGCGATGCTGCTGCCAAGGACAGTTAGGCAGTTTGGGCACAGCACCCTGCAGAGTTGCTACTGCGAGCCTGTAGAAGAGGATGATATTCTGACCGTGATGATGCGCAACATTCCAAATAAGTCGGAAGCTGAGTCGGCGTCTCTGGATCACTTGCGCAGGCACTGTGCTAGCAAATTTGTGTGACAGGTACACGCAAAAGATGCTAATTGACGAGGTGAATGAAGTTGGCTTCAACGGTACCTGGGATACTTGGATTCAGCGAGTGTTCCGTCCCAGTTTTGTGCCTGTCGGTGCTCTCTCCGGGCTTAGGACTTCGTGTATTTGCCCATTGCTCCGCGCTTAATTGAAGAGCTGGGCAGATCTGGGCAATTCCTCACACCATTTTTTGAGGGCTAGCGAAGCCGTTTTTCAGGACAGGGAGTCCGGTGCCAACAAGGGCTATGCCTTCATCAACTTCCTCCGCCCAGAACTCAGGTCCAGCCTTTCGCCGCGGCAGCTGCAGATAGCTTGATGCCGCACTGATGCCGAGGTCCAGACTACGCATACGCTTTCAAGCCAGATCCTCGGAGCGGTTGGCTATGCAGGTTATTGATTCGGGCCCATGTGGCAAACAGGCTACTGCGCTGCGTCTGCTCAATGTGTGTGTGCGCGTGTGTCTGCGTGCAACTCCTGTGTCCAAGGATCTAAAGTAAGACCGATATAGAAAATCACAGTTTCACCAGCAGGGGGATGGAGGAGGCATGTGAGGCTCCATCCAACGAAGGGACGCCTGTGGACGTACCTGCAAGCTCTGATGTAACATCTTCGCTGTATGTTGGCTTCATCGTATACTGAAAAGAGATGATTCTAACAGAGCTCCGAAAATGCTGCCAAAAGAGAGAGCATATCAAACAGCATCCATCTAGGTAAGGATGACTGGTCAGCAAGTGTGTGCGCGTGCGTGCATGTGTTGCATTTGCAGTGGTCCAGCTGAAGGCGTGCTTTCAATGGAAAGCAGATGGCTCTTTTCAAGTCGAACAAGATTGTGAATGCGCCTCGACGAGTCCGCAGAAACCTTCTTGGTGCCTCTGCGAGTGACGAGTGCCAGGTGACCCCTGCCGCCATCCAAGGCTTCGAGGCAAACTTTGAGCTCTGCTCCGAGAGATGCCACGAGATGCCATGACATGACATGATCCTTCTAAGACTTTGTGTGATTCTGCGTCTTTGCTGCTTTCGCCGAGGCATTTCTCTCGTACCCGAGTGAACTTCGGGGCCACGGCCTCAAGGGCCTCAAGGGCCTCAGACTCGGTATGGCCCTTGGCTCTCTCAGGATCCAGATGCACGGCCGTTGTTTCTGCGAAAGGCAGGAGTGTTGGTGTGGACGCCAGCTTGAACTTCTTTCGATTGCATCTCTGAAGGTGCAGAAGGTGCAGAAGTTGCCTCAACGTGCATCCGCCCAGCTCAGGTACGCATGTCAGATATCGTTTGCTCCTGCACGCTTTGTATGTGATGTCGTGCACCTCAGTGCGTCAAGGGCAAGTTGGCGTTCATCGGTAGCAAGTCATAGCACTACTCAGGCATGATGTGGAAGGGGATCTGCGTTCGCTGTTGATTCAAGGGAGACTCCTTGATCATGTGTGCGCCTCGTCCTTGTACAACATCAGCAGACATTGGACGAGTTTCGAAGGCTCCTTCTTCCACCGTATATACTACAGAAGGCTAGCTTGGGTTTTGGGGTTGGTGTTTGTGCCGAGATGGCTGGCGTGCCAGCTTCGACTGGTTCACAGAACACTGGTAATAGCCCACGGCGTGGCTTTAAAGAACTACTTTTTGCAAGAATTTCAGCCATTTCCAGCTACCAAACAGAAGAGAAAGTAGCAGGAACATTAATCCACGTAGGAAATGTGTTGAAAATCATTTTGGTAGCAATCTGCAAATATCTGAGAATGCTTTTCCCCAGCGGTTTCATATCCACAGAAGTAAACCCGCCCCGAACGGTAATTACCTTCAAGGACAACTGGGAAGTGGCAGATGTGGGAGCGACCGGTTCTTTGCGAATTCTGGTCCTGGCAGCCTTACACGCAACACAATGCCTTTTTTCACATCTATTCACGGCACAGCAAGGAGACTGAACTGGGCACTGAATGTGTAAACACGTAGCCGTAGTTCTCGAGACATCAATGTTGTCACGTTTGGCATGTTTTCACTTTGGCAGCTTCGGGGGACATGCCTCAAGACCTGGCTCGACGCGCCTCAACGCATGGATTTTGTATTGTGCTTAGTTCTGCCAGAGAAGCCTGTAGAAACACCGGGCAAGGCCGCTACCCGAGACTATCTGACACAATATGAA